AATAATGCTGCTGTAAACTGTTTTTCGTTTGTTTGGTTTTCCTGTGTTTGTGGGTTGTTGTTCTGTGTTTTTCCCAGTGCTGGGACTGGAACCCAGGACCTTGCACATGGTGGACAAGGGCTTTTCCACTGAGCCCAGCTGTGAATGTTTGTGTGTGGGGTTCAGCGTGAACGTGTGCCTCCATTTCTCTCGTATGTCTGCCTAGTGCTGGAACTGTTGGGTCAGACGGTGACTCCAGTTTAATCCAGGAACCGCTGGAACGTTCCAGTCCCTCCAGCCACGCACAAGCATGGCTCCAGCTTTACCATCTGTTTTTGCACTCTCCCACTGGTGGGCATCTGGGCTGTTTGCAGTTTGGAGTGGCAGAACCTTCTGGGATGTGTCCTGTGGCCCAGAGCTGCCATTACTGAGAAAAGTGGAATTACAAAGGGGGTGACCAGGCTCAGAGGTGCTGGGTAAGACTTCTCCCTGAGGGCCTGTGTGGGGCCCTCATTGCGTGTGCTTCCAGAACCTTCTTCCTGGGTGAGTGCGGGAAGGGATTACTGCCATCACCTACACAGTCCCTGCTCCATGAACTTGAGAAACAACACTCTTGTCCTGCTGCCCGTGAGCAAGATGTCCCTGTTCCACACGGCTGCACCGGCCATGTCCTCATCCATGCTGCTTTGGGAGCCTGTCCCCATGGGGGTGTCCTGTTGGACTGGACCTTGCCCACAGGAAGTGGTGCCATGCAGGGGCGGTCTGCATGTTGGTCTGGTGGGCACTCTGACTGCCCTGTGGTTTATGGTGCCCCTGGTGTTTGGTGGGCGGTGTGGACAGATGGGATACCTGAGCCTCCCAGGTTAGGGTGCCGCTGGAGAGGCCAGATAGGCCCTTTTGGGGGTTGGCAGGACCCCCTGGGATGCACCACCTTCTCTGTCTCCCTTGCTTCCTGTTGCTTTCCCCTTCTGACCTGTGTTTCCTGAACAGCTTTGCCCTCAGTCCCCTTTCTCCCCTGGCTATCATCTTCTCCATGACCTTTCACCTCTCCACCTCCAGGTGACGTGGACCCTGGATCTCTGGTTGGCCTGGGTTGGATGTCCCTCCTCCCAGCCCTGGTCAGTCTCGGTCAGGCACCTGCCTTGTCCAATACCAGCTGTGGCCTCTGAGAACACCCCAATGTCATCCAGCCAATATTTACGCAAAGTGACCAAGACAGGAGCGCACCCTCTCAGGGAGACAGGCAGCAGCTGAGAGAAGTCACTTTTATGGCACTTCAGATTGCCATCAGCCCTTTGAAGAAAAACAGAGCAGGAGGGGAGGGATGCACTGGTTGGGGAGAGGTCCAGTTCTAGGTCCAGTTGGGTTGAGCGTCGTTGACCTGGTGACAGTTGAGAAAAGGGAAGAAGGGAAAAAGGAATCAGGCAGCGGGAACAGCATGTGCAAAGGGCCTGAGGCAGCTGTGTGCCTGGTGTTTGGAGGAATATCAAGGAGGCCAGTTTGGATGGAAGAGATGAGGACGAGAAGGGGCAGATCATACAGAGCCTGTGGCTATAGGAGGACTTGGGTTTTACTCAGAGTAAAAGTTTGAAAGCAGCAAGTGTCCACCTTCATATACTTATATTTATTTCCACCAAGTCATTTTAATTCTCATAACCCTGTAAGGTAGGCTGTGCTTTTAATCTCACTTTACAGAGAAGGAATATGGTACCAAAGTCTGGCCTCTTCATCGTTACCTATTTTTATTCCCATGGTGCTGGGGATGGAACCCAGGTCCTCACTTGCTAGACAGGTGCTCTTCCCCCCGCACTTTTGTTTGTTTTTACAGGGTTTCACTAACTTTGCCTGGGTCGGGCTCCACCTTGAACTCCTCCTACTTCTGCCTCCTGAGTAGCTGGGATTACACGCAGGTATCACTGTGCCCGACACATTTTCTTTAATCTTTTGGTTTCTACGTCCTGTGTCTCTCTTGTGGGGGTCAATTTAATTAAAAGTTGATCATATAATATGTGAACCAACTGCTAAGACACTGAGAAGACAGGACACAACATTTTATGAGCGAGTGTGGTTTTATCTACCAAACTCCTACAGGAGCTTAATCCCTGAAGTCCTGTGTTAATGGTATTAAGAGGGTGACTCTTAATCCGACTGTGTCGTTTAGAAGTGATTAGATTAGGGCATGAGGGTGAGCCCCAGTGATTAAATCCTGGTGGCTTCATGGGAGAGGGAGGGAGAGGAGAGAGAAACACGCAGTGGCCACTCCCACAAGAACCTGTATCATGCCCTCTGGACTTCTAGCTTCCAAATCTGTGAGCTAAACAAACCCATCCGTTTTCTGTAAAGTAACCCACCTCAGATATTTCATCATGGTAACACGACGCTGACTGATTCACATCATGAAGCAAAGGAACGTCACTGTGTCTGCCTTGGGCATCTCATGCTCTTCCTGTAATGCCTCATTGCCGTGCCTGTTGGTCACCTTCTGTCTCGCATCAGATCACGTATTGATTTCTCATCTGGATGAGTTTGTTTTATCGCTGAGATTTTGGAATAAACAGAAATCAGCATTCTACCAATGGAATCAAACAGAAAGGTCAGGAGGAGTCAGGTGCATGTGGCTGTCTGGCATGAGACCAAAGTGGCTGCTGGTCAGATCTGTGGGGAAACCAGAAATTCTTAATAAATGGAGGTGAGGACAAAATGAAAAGGTCACCAAGGGCTGGAGCATGACTCAGTGGTACAGCACTTGCCTACGATGTACAAGGCCCTGGGTTCTATCCCCAGCACCATGCACATATACACACACCCACACAAGTTAATGTTTTGAATGACTTACGTATTCACATTGCTGAAAAACCAAGAACTAATCTGAAAATCCACAGAGGAAGCTCCCCTGTGCCAGATCCACACTCTAGGTGTTTGCTCAAGTTGTTTGACTGGGTCCCCATCCTCATCTTGTTCCCATCTGCCAGTCCCCCTGTAGTTCAGTGTGCTTACTGCCCAGGGATCCTTCCTGAAGTACTTTTTTGAACTCAGTGCTGGGATTTGAACTCAGGGCCCTGTGCTTACCAGGCAGGTGCTCTATCACTTCAGCCACACCCCCAGACCTGTTTGCTTTACTCATTTTTTGGATAGGGTCTCAAGGTTTTGTCCACAGCTGGCCTGGGACCTTGATGCCTCCCAAATCCTGGGGATGACACGTGTACACCACCATGCCCAGCTTGTTGTTTGAAGTTGCCTCTGGCTACTAGCTTTTTGTCTAGGCTGGCCTCAAACCATAATCCTCTCTTTCTCAGCTTCCCAAGTAGCTAACATTACAGACATGAGCTACTGGTGCCTGGCTTCCCCAAAGGTTTTTTTTTTCTTTTTTCCAAGTATTGGAGTTTGACAGAATTTGAACTCAGGGCCTACATCTTGAGCCACTCCACCAGCCCTTTTTGGTGAAGGGTCTTTTTTTCAAGGTAGGGTCTCTCGAACTATTTACCTGAGCTGGTTTCGAACCTCAATCCTCTTGATCTCTGCCCCCTTTCCCTCCAAGTAATTAGGATTACAGATGTGAGCCTCCTTCTCCCTTCTTTAAGCAGCTGGCCTCATTTTATGCTCTCAGTCTCTATTTGATGTGTCAGTAACAATTGTCTGGGAAGTCTCCAGTCAGTCTACAGAGAACATCCATGTTCTTTTTTATGGCACGTTTATTGACATATAATTCACATGCTATAAAATTTGCCCATGTACAGTGCACAGTTGAGTGGTTTTAGAGGTGTGCATCCGTGGCCACAATGAATTGCAGAGCACTTTCATTACCCCAGACAGACCCCCTGTGCCCGAGGGCAGCTGCTCCTAACTGCTCACTCCCTACTGGCAGCTGCTTGTCGCCTTTGTGTCTTGATGGATTTGCCCATGGTTGGCATCACAACAGTGGTGTTAATTGCTGCGTGGCCTGTGTGGCTTGATACAGCCAGCAGCGTGTCCTTGTGGCCCACCCCTGTGGCAGCTCTCCTGCCTTCTCGTGGCAGGGCGCTCATTTGTGTGTTGATGGGTGTTTGGGTGGTTTTCAGTTATGCTTCTGGGGACGTTTAGGTACCTGTTTTTGTGTAGGCAGAGGTTTGCCTTTCTCTTGGGTCTGTATTAGGTGTGGAATCGCTGGCACATATGGTTGTTGTAAATGTGACTTTTTTTTTTCTGGTGGCACTGGGGTTTGAACCCAGAGCCTCCTGTTTGCTAGGCAGGTGCTCTACCACCTGAGCCACACCCCAGTCCTTTGTTTTTCAAATAGAGTCTCGTGCTTTTCTCCAGACCAACCTCAGCCTGTGATCCTCCTACCTCTGCCTCCTGAGTGCATGGGATTGCAGGTGGGTGCTACCATGCCCGGGTACATCTAACTTCTTGAGGAACTGCTAGGTGGGCTTCCATCACCGCCGTCTCATTTCACACCAGCAGCATATAAGTATTCCCCTTTCTCTGTCCTCACTTGCCGCTGGGTAGGGTCTGTCTTTCTGCTTTCAGCCACTGCTAGATGCGGTGCGCACGTCATTGTGGTTTCCCCTTGTGTTTCCATGATGATTGATGGACTTGAGTGTCCTTCCAGGTGTTTTCTGGCCATCTGTGCACCCTGTTGTTTTTGTTTTGTTTTGTTTTTTTACAGTAGCAGTGTTCTCCTCTTTAACCTAGGGTTCTGTTTCCAGTACCTTGTTACTGTGCACATTGTAAAACCTCTAGGTGTATTCCTTTTGTCATGTGGATTGTACCTGCAGACGAATTGACCAGGTGAAGGCTAGCTGCAGGACTGTGGAGCATCTGCCTAGCAGCATGAGGCCCTGGATTCCATCCCTAGTACCGCAAAAAATGAGGTACTGCCCAGCGCCAGTGACTAACCCTGTAATCCCAGCTACTTGGGAGGCTGACATTGGGAGGATGGAGCTTCAAGGGCAGCCTGGGTAAATAGTTCCCAGGACCCCATCTTCAAAATAACCAGAGCTAAACAGATGGAGGTGTGGCTCAAGCAGTAGAAGGTGTGCCTGCTTTGCAAGTGCGAAGCCCTGAGTTCAAACCTCATCTCTGTAATCTTGGCTGATACTCCGGTGTTCGCAAGTCCTCACTGTTGGAGTGTGCCATGTCTACAGATCATCTATTCGCTAACATTTATTTGTAATCTGTGCTTTTTTAGGTTTTTTTTCTTTTTTCTCACAGTGCTGGGGACAGACCCAGGCCCTTGCACATGCTCAGCAAGCACTCTGCCACTGAGCTGCACCCCCGCCTGGTGTGGGGCATTTATGAGCCAGGTGACCTGGGACATTTCTGTGCAATTGTTTATGTGGACGTTTTCACTTCTCTAGAGTGGAATTGTTGGGCCAGGTAGCTGGCATACATTTAACTTTAGGTAATCTGGGCTTTTAAGTATCTTCTGGAATGAGGCGTCTTGCAGAGAGCCATTCCAGGGATGCTTGGCAGTTGAAGATTGCCAGGCCACAGGCTGTTCCTCTGGGATTCTCTGACCTTCCTTTCAGAAGCAAAAAATGGCTGCTGAGTGCCTGTTGTGTCATCATCCTCCAACTGAGGAAGGATCTGGGTAAGCGCTCTTCCCAAGGCGAGTCTCTGCCTTTTTATCCAAATGTGAGCATTTTCCCAAGTCCCTGTTTGCTGCACAGGAGGTTGACAAAGGAAAGTTGTAGCAAAGGGGCAGGGCCCATCCTTGCTGTGATTTGTCCTCTCGAGTGGGCATGGTGCTGAATGTAACCATGTGTGGTCTTTGCCAGCTGCATCACAATCCAGGGAGCTCAGCTTAGAGATTCCCAAGTTTACAACCTTCCAGGTGGGACCAGGCACAGTGACTCACACCTATAATCCCATCCTCTGAGATCAGAAGGATTGCAGTTTAAGGCCAGTTTGGTCAAAAAATTAGTGAGATCCCATCTCAACTAATAACTGGATGTGCTGCCTCACACCTGTCATCCCAGCTTCTTGGGAAGTGTAGGCAGGAAAATCACAGTCCAGGTTGGTCCCAGGCATAAATGGAAGACCCTGTCTGAAAAACAACTAAAGTAAGAAGGGCTGGGGGTGTGGCTTAAGTGGCAGGGTGCCTGCCTAGGAAGCATGAGTTCAAACCCCAGTACCACGACCACCAACAAAAAAAAGCGAAACAAGCTGGGCACTGGTGGCTCACACCTGTAATCCTAGCTACTCAGGAGGCAGAGATCAGGAGGATCAAAGTTCGAAGCCAGCTCAGGCAAATAGTTTGTGAGACCCTGCCTTGACAGTACCCATCACAAAAAAGGGCTCATGGGTGGTTCAAGGTATAGACCCTGAGTTTCAAGCCCCAGTACTGAAAAAAAAAAAAAAAGCCAAGCTTCTAGTCATCATGGTCTGTTGAGGCCACACACCATGCAGGAAGGATACCATGGCATGTGGAAAATGGACTTGTGTGGGGCGCTTTAGGGCTGCCCAAGGGGAGGAGACCTGGATGGGCCACTGGGTGGAAGGGAGGCCATGAGGCTCTTCAGGAAGTGCACCCCTGACAGGTAGCCTGGGAAGGAGAGGGAGGGGCAGTACCACTGTGTGCTTCCCACTAGCGTACGTTCAAATCCTTTGTGCTGAATGGGCAGATGACCTTGAGCAAATCAACCACACTTTTGTGCCTCAGTTTCCCCATCTGTGAGATGGGCACAAGGTTCACAGGGTGCCCCTCATAGATGTAGTACATAGAACAGTGCCCAGCCCTGAGCAAGTACCATGGGACCTTGACCCTGGTGCTGAGATGATGAGGTTGGAGGTGGCAACTGAGAGCATGCAGTGTAGAACCTGGACCACCCCCAGCCCCTGCACCTCCAAATACCAAGACGGTCTTTGCAGGATTCCAGGTGGCATGACTTGGGGTGGGACAAACAGGCTGTGACCATGAGGAAGGGGCCACAGAGGAGTCTGGAGTGTAGTCTCGTTTCTGAGTCCCCAGAGAGGGCTGTATCAGTCAGCAGCTTCTGCTGCATGACAAACAGCCCAACACTGAGAGACTGCACCCACTATTAAGTAAGCCCACCTTATTCATGGATTTATTACCCACGGTTTTGACCAAGGGCAGTTAAAGTAAATTAAAAAAGAAAAGAAATTTAAAAGACAGATTTTTTTTTTCCTTGGCAGCACTGAGGTTTGAACTCAGGGCCTCACACTTGCTATGTAGGTGCTCTACCACTTGAGCCACTCCACCAGTCCTGTTTTGTGATAGGTTTTTTTCAAGATAGGGTCTCACAAACTATGTGCCCAGGCTGGCTTTGAACTGTGATTCTTCTGATCTCTGCCTCCTGAGCAGCTGTGATTACAGGTGTGAGCCATCAGCGCCCAGCAGTATTTTCTGTTCTTACTCCATGCTGTTCAGTGACTTGAAGAAATCCCCAGTCACAGCCTGCTAATAATATTTCACAACCTCCAAGGGTGGGATCCACAGCTGATGTCCTGGAGTTTGCACGTGGTCACTTGAGCCCCATCCAGCCTCTGTGGGCCAGGAAGGAGGAGAGGCAAGGAAAGGGTGTTGGCAGAAGCGCCAGGTGGGCTCCCCCTGCCGTCCCCACTTCCCAGCATCAGATGACGTGGTGCCATCCCTGCCATCTTTATGACTTGCACGGAAGGGAAGAGTGGCTGGGACAAGTAGCTGGTCTTGGGAGCTCCCAGGGGCTTTGCTGCCGTGTCCTGCCAGGCCGACTTGGCTCCGCGTGACTCTGGTGACAGCGCAGAACTCTGATTGCATTACAAGTGGGGAAGGAATTCACACCGTTTCTGGAAGGACGCTTTGTCATTGTCGTGTCACCCCAATCTGCTTGTGGTTTCCAGGCCCAGCCTTTCTAGCTTTTTATAGCGTGGTGGTGAAGAGTGAGGTCTTTATAATGCCAGGGTCTGAGTTCAAATTCTGGCCCCTGGTGCGATCTGATGTCAGTTTTCCACACTCTCTTGAGTCTCTGTTTTCTGTAAAGTGTGAGTCAGTATTGCTCCTTGCTCGTGGTGGGATTAGTGGGTACGGGCCTGATAGCCAGGGCATGCTCAGACTGTGTGGGCTTTATGGTATATCAGTCAGCTTTAGCTGGGAGGAGATGTAGTAACAGGTGAGCCCCAAGCCTTTTACATGTGTATATGGTCCTGGGGTTTTGAACTCAGGACCCTGCACTTGGTAGGCAAGCGCTGTACCAAGAAATTCTGCTTTGGAATCTTGCTTTATTTTTTCCTTTTTCTGTGCTGGGGATGGAACCCCGAGCCCTCACATATACTAGGCAAGCGCTCTACCACTTGAGCCACACCCCCAGCCCTTTCCTTTTTCTTTTTCCTTTTTTTTTTTTTTTTTTAACGCCTGGAGTCTCAGCGGCTTACAGTGACTGACACTCATCTCCCTATCATGAATGTTCTTTTTGTGGGTTGTCTGTGACTTTATCCATGTGTCCACTGTGTCCTAGGACTCAGTGAATCATGGAATGCCTGTTCAAAGGGACATGATGTATCCCTTCCAATGTCACTCAAGTCACATGCCAGGCTGGTGGACTACGATTTTTCTGTAGCAGCAGACCCACTGGAAATGAAGGATGGCAGATTATTAAGAGGCTACTTTTTAGGGGCTGGAGGAATGGCTCGAGTGGTAGAGCACCTGCCTAGCAAGCACGAGGCCCTGAGTTCAAACCCCAGTACCGTGGGGAAAAAAAGAGGCTGCTTTTAGCAGGGGGTGGTGTGCCCACCTGTAATCCCAGCTACTCGAGAGACAGAGATAGGATTGCAAATTTGAGGCCAGCCCAGACAAAGGTAGTGAGACCTCATCTCAAAAACAAAATACAAAAAAAAAAAAGGACTTGGGGGGGCATGACTCAAGGGGTAGAGCACTTGCCTGCTGTTCAGGAGGCCCTGGGCTCAATCCCTAATACCGCAAGAAAAGAAAGAAAGAAAAATAATAGAGCCACTTTTCCCCAGCAGTGCTTTAGGCTGTTTGGAGCTGGCAGCTCTGCACACTGCTTTCCCGAGCCCAGTCTCAGCATCCAAATCTTTGGAGTATGTGGAGCAGGTGGCCCCAGCCATCCCTGATATCGAACCCCCAGCCATTCTCCCAAGGCCAAGGCTCTGGTCTGCATTTGCTCTTTAAGGCAGCCTCGGCTCGCCCCCATGCTGGACACAGTAGGTGTTTAATCAGTGCACCTTTCACTGGGTGGCCCCTCGAACGAGTGAGGGGATTTGTTTAACTTCCTCTGCACATGCACTCACTCATCCACAAGGACTCACTCAGCCCCTCACTCCAGGTGGGACTGGTAGGACAGTCTGCCCTGCTGGGGCTGAAGGAGGCAGTAAACAAAGCAACAAAGCATCAGGCACAGAATAGTCGATGTTAGGGTTTTATTGTTTCGGCAGTAGTGGGGTTTGAACTCAGGGTGTGCATTTGCTAGACAGGCACATTACCACCTGAGCTATGCTTCTAGTCTTTTTGCTTTAGTTAATTTTTCGAATCAGGACTCTCCTGTGTTCCCCTGGCAGACCTGGACCGTGATCCTCCTGTTTATGCTTCCTGCTACCTGAAATGACAGGTGGTATGACCGGTACGTACCACCTGGTTTATTGGTTGAGATGGGGTCTCTTGAACTCTTTGTCCAGGCTGGCCTCAAACTTTGATCCTCCCAATCTCACCCACTCAAGTACCTAGGATTACAGGTGCAAGCCACTGACACCCAGCCCTAATTGTTCTTTTTTCCTTTTTTTTTTCGAGGTGCTGGGGTTTTAACTCAGGGCCTCATGCTTGCTAGGCAGGCACTCTACCACTTGAACTACTCTTCTAGTCCATCTCACTTTGGTTATTTTGAAGATGGGGGTCTCAAGAACTATTTTCCTGGACTGGCCTTGAACCTTGATTCTCCTGATCTCAGCAAGTAGTTTGGATTGAAAGCTGGAACCACTGGCTCCTACCTTGAGTAATCTTAGAGTACTGTGTGCTCTGTGCATCTAAGCATGTGCGGTTTTCCTCCATGGCAGTCTTGGAACCATCTACCCGAGGATACTACCTGAGGATACTAAGGGTTTGCTGTATACAAAATCAGGGGGTGTTTAAACATAAGCATGCAGAAACCAAGATGATGTACAGATTGGTTGGTGACAGAGTTGTGACAGGGGCTTGCATTAGCCTCCTTGGATTTCCCCTGGAGCAGTGGCTCCATGTTTGCTAATTCAGTGTCATAGCCACCTAGTAGGACATAACTGCCCTGAGTAACAAGGACTGGCTATAGTTGATTGGACTCGTGCCAATAAGTGATGTCATCTGTGCATACCACAGGCCTCGTGTGCATGGTAATGTATAGCGTCACTTTGTGTGACTTTAAACTTGTATTTGTCCTGCTTTCTCACTTTTTTTTTCCTCTAAGGTTAATAGGCTTTTTGCTGTATTTTTATTCACTTTAGCCACAAAATACTTGGTTTTTTTTTTTTTTGTAGTACTGGGGTTTGAACTCAGGGCCTCACACTTGCTAGGCAGGCTCTCTACCACTTGAGCCATGCCCCCAGCCCTTTTTTGCTTTAGTTACCTTTTGGATCGGTTCTCACGTTTTTGCTGGAGCTGACCTCGGACCGTGATCCTCCTACCTCCACCTCCTATGTAGCTAGGATGACAGGTGCACACCAACATGCCCTGCTTGTTGACCAGATGAGGTTTCACTACTTTTTGCCCTGTCCAGCCTCAAATCTCAATCCTCCTAATCTCTGCCTCTGGAGCAGCTGGGATTACAGGTGTGAGCCCTCACTTCTCTTTTAACCTTGCCTTTCCCACCCTCCCCCTCCCATCCTTCCTCCCTTCTCCTGGGGCCTTCCCTTTCTCCCACAGCCCCGCCCCATATCCCTGCACCTCCTCTGTCTCTGAGCACCTCTTTTTCCTATTCATTGACTTTCTCACTCACCGTCTCTCTCATTCTCTCTACAGCTGGCCCCCGAAAGGACACTCTCCAAGTCCCCAGCCGGGGGACCCGTGTAGACCTGGAGTGGACAGCCCCTCCTTCCCTTCATGATTCGTTTGTAGCACAGGTAACCAGGGACAAATCCCAGCTCATTTCCAGAGGGGCGGCTGTCCTCTGTGCACCTCCGGGCCCACTGATGTTCCAACTTGGTGGGGGGTGGCCTGGTTGGTAACCTCCTTCAGCTCTTCCTCTCCAGCCTGGACCCCCTGGCTCACTCAGGCTGTTCCCTGGCCTTGCACCAGCTGCTTGCAGGCTGTCCCTTCCTACTTCCCCCTTCCTCCAGATCCTAGCCTTTTCAGGCTGCCCACAGCTGGTTGGGAGAAGGCAGGGATCATAGGCCTGGAGACACAGGGAGAAGGAAGCAGAGCTGGGGACTTGGCAGGGACAAGGGAGAGTCTGTGTTCACCTCCCATGCAGTGAAAGCTCAGGAGGGGCCTCTCTGGAACCATCCCGGGCCAGCTGTGTAAGGGGACGCAAAGGTGTGTGTCTGGGTGTGATGGCGCATCTCTGTAATCCCAACTGCTTGAGAGGCAGAGGCTGCAGGATCTTGAGTTCAAGGTCAGCGTGTGCAAAGTTAGTGAGACATTGTCTGAAAAAAGCAAAACACAAACGAAAGGTCTGGGAGTGTAACTCAAGTGGTAGAGCACTTGCCTAGCAAGTGTAAGGCCCTGGATTCAAGCCGTAGTACGTCAAAATGGAAGAAAAGGCACATGGCCCTGGGGGTGCATATCTGTGCTGTGAGGTTGGAGGGGCATCTGTGGCCCTGGGAGCAGGATGTGATACATCTCATGCACGCATGGTTCTATCCAGAGGGTCCTTTGGCTTTCGTCAGCTGTCTGGAGAAGCCACCCCCGCCTTCCCTGTCTCTGTCCCAGATGCCTCTGTGCCTCACAGAGACTGAGGCTGGGCTCCAGGTGGCGATGAGGAGGTCACTGTTAGGTACATTCATCTGAGGGGCTGGGAACCTGTTAGGGCACACACAAGATGACGCATATATGACCAACGACCCCCTCTCAGCAAGGCTCAGGATGCCCAGACACACACACACACAAGAGAGGATGCAGACTCTGTGGTCCTGAGCTGTGAGTTCCCACCATGCAGGGGTTGTGTTCTCCTCGGAGCAGGTAGAAGACCGTGGAAGGATGAGTGCATGGCGGGATTCTCCATCTGGGTGCTTGAATGAAGGGAAAGATATGGTTGTCTAAAGTTTGGAGAGATAGGTGGATGGAAGCAGGGAACAATAGGGGGGTAGATGAATGTGCAGAAGGATGGGTGGAGGGACAGACATTAAGAAAGATGGATGTTTGGCAGGATGGAGGGAGGTTGGCTGACCCTTCCGCAGGTCGGAGGGATGTTGATGGAGTGGGTGGATGGTAGAATGCTTTGGAGAGATGGTTGCTGATTTGGAAGGCTGGACATGGGAGGGCGAATGGGTGAGTGCACTCACCTTGGGTGTGAACTAGGGCTCCGATCCTTCTCCCAGCTGAACAAGCTAACCTTTGTGAAGCGCTCATAGTGCCAGCACAAGGCAAGCGCTCAACAAACGTTAGCCCTCCTCATCCTCATCATTCTGACAGCAGGGGACGTCTCTGCTCCAGTGCCCAGCCTCTTGGTCCTCCTCCCTTCCTCCTGCCTCACTTCCCCCACCGCCCCTCCCTCGCTTGAGAACCTCGCCATGTGGGTCTTCACAGGGCACCTGGGACCCTGGACTCAAGGCTTCTCTCTCCCTCCCTCCCTCCCTCCCTCCGTCCTTTACCCACTCATATGTAGGACAGATCCCCTACCATACCTTAGGCCAGGCCCTATGTTCAGGGAACAGGACAGTGGGGTGTCATAGAGCATACGCTCAAGATCTGGACTCCCCGGGTTTGAGGCCAGGCTCTGCCACCTGCTTGCTGGGAGACAGAGAGTAGGAGTTTTGGTGACTCTGGCCCCTCATCTGTAGAGTGGGGGTGCAGCCCTCCAGGGGACTCTGTGAGGACTCACTTAGTCTGGGCTGATAGCATCATCACCGTATCAACAGGTGCTGGGGACGGTGGGTGCTGGGGCGTGAGGAAAGGAGGGAAAGGAAGCTGTCCCCCTCTGGTCAGGAGTTTCTGCTGGGGGCACCTGGGAGGTGATCTTCACCCCCACCTGTCCCATGGTCTCAAGGGAACAGAAACTCTGGCCCCACCATGGGGCTCCCCTGAAGGGAGGGGGCCAGGCAAACTGCCACAGTCTAACCTTGTCTCCCTCGCCCTCTTCCCGACCCCACCCCATCCAGTGGCGATGGATGATGAGGATGGGAGATGCTTACTAGACGTGATTTGGTGAGTAATGGGCTCCCCACCCCCACCCCCATCTCTAAGACCCCTCCCCCATTCTCCCAGCTCACCTCCTCAGCTCTCCCCCTCTCTCTTTTTCAGTGACCCTCAGGCCCTCAACGACTTCTTGCATGGATCCGACAAGGTAAGACCTGGGACAGGGAGGGGCATTCCTGGGGAGAGGGCTGTGAATTGACAGCAGACATGGCAGAACGCTCCTGTCCTTTCTGTATGCCAGGCACTGGGGTTATGTTGGTGGGCAAAAGAGATGGTGAATCCCTGTCCTCACACCACAGACAACTCCTCGGTGAGCAAGGAAGGCAGTCACTCGTGAAGGCCGTAGTGGAGAAAGCACCATGCAGAGTGTAGTTAAAATGATAACAAGAGGTTTAAAAGGCCTCCTTTAGCCAGTGTGGTCAGAGAGATTGCTCTAAGGAGGTGACATTGGATGTGGCCACAGTGCTCCTAGCAGGAGGAAGAATGTGACACATTTAAAACAGAAAGAAGGCTGGTGGGGTCAAACTGACAGAAACTAATAGGAGGTGGGACCGGTAGGACAGAAATCACTCAGTTATGCAGGCCTAGAAGACCTTGCTAGAGTGGTTTGTTGGTTTGCTTATTTGTTTTTTACACTACTGGGGTTTGAACTCAGGGCTTCATGCTTACTAGACAGGAATACTGCCTCTTGAGCCATGCCTCCAGCCCTTTGTGCTCTGGTTATTTGGAGATAGGGTCTCACTTTTTGTCCAGATTAGCCTGGACCATGAACCTCCTGTTTTGGGATTGCCTGTCATCACTGGGATGACAGACAGGCTCTGTGACGCCCAGCTTTTTTCCCATTGAGTTGGTTATTGCAAAGTTTTTTGCCCTGACTGCCTGAACCCATGATCTTCCCGATCTCAGCATCCTGTATAGCTCGGGATGACAGGTGCACACCACCACTCCCATCTCTTGGTTGAGACGAGGTCTCACTGTTTGCGAAAGCTGGCCTTAAACCATGATCCTCCTGATCTCAGCCTCCCAAGTAGCTAGGATTACAGATGTAAACCACCAGCACCTGGCTGTGGTTTTGATTTTTACTCTGAATGTGATAGCAGCTCTCAAGGGTTATTAAACAGAAGAATGGCACATTCAGTTTGCACAGGGGAAGAGTGAGATCTGTGAGCCCTAAGTGTTGTATTCACTTGTCCATCACCAAGTAATGGGCTACCCTGCCCGAGTGACTTCAGACATCTGCTAGGCTCTGGCAATTTGTGAGGTCAGGAATCTGGGACTTGCTCAGCTGGGTGGTTCTGGCTCAGGAATGCTTATGACATCTCAGTGGAGATGTTGATGGGGCTTTGGTCATCTGAGGACCTGTCCAGGGCCAGCAGATGGGCTTCCTCCACAGCTCCTTCCTGTGGCTGTGGGCAGGAAGCCCTAGTTCCTCACCACATGGGCCTGTCTGTGGCACTGCTCAGGTGTCCTCAGGAGGAGGCCTCAGGGTCTTTTATGACCTAGTCTCCAAAGTCACACATCACACGTGTCCACCAGAAAGGAGTTGCTAAGTTCAACCCGCACTTGGAGGGAGGGGGGTAGAGCTCCGCTTTTGTTTTTTTTTTTTTTTTTGAGACAGGGTCTCGCTTTGCAGCCCAGGCTGACCTAGAACTTGCAATCCTTGAGCCTCAGCCCTCAGCCTCCTGAGTGCTGGAATTATAGTGTGTGCCACCATGCCTAGTGAGGTCCATCTCTTGGAAGAAGTATCAAATAGTCTGTGGTGGCAGGCAGGTGTGATGAGATGGTAGCCTAGGCCACAGTGCAGTGGTGGAGTGGGTTTGTAAGGTCCTGGGCTTGGGACCTGTGTGGGAGGTAGAATCAGCCAGACCTGCTAGTGGCTCAGCTGTGGAGGGAGCAAATGAACACGAATGACTGCTAGATTTCAGCCTGAGCGACCAAGTGGACTATGGTTCTGGTCTCTTGAGGTGGGGTTTGGGGCAGATTCCAGAAAGTCCAGTGGAGCTGTGAATGTACAAGCTGGGGTCCTGGAGAGGCCTCCAGCTGAGAGAATTGTCCTCAGTCATGGACAGATGTACCCTGGGCACTTACGTGTGGTGCCAGGTTCTTCTCCAAGATGCCCGGGAGTCACAGCATGTCCCAGCCCTCCAGGGGTGGGCACACCATGGCATGTTGGGTACTGGAACTGCATAGAGAAGAGAGTGACTTGGTGAAAGGGGGTGGTGGCAATGGGTGGCTTGTGATGGCCCTGAAGACTGAGACTGAGGGCTCAAGGAAGGGCACAGCTTGGTGTAGCATCAAGGCAGGAGCCATGAATTCAGTGTAAATACATCTGGGGGCCATCAGAGGCCAGGCCAGGGAACTGTCCTTGATTGGGGGGGCGGGGGGTCCTTGTTCATGCCACTGGCTGCTGTCTCTGGAGACTTTTTCTGGGGCACAGCTTCCTGTATCGCCATCACCCCTATCGTATCACTCATCTTTTTATCTAGAGTAACTCTAAATTGGTTTCTGCTCTAGAGCTGGGGCCTGCCCTGCTGACCTTTGACCTTGGGTGGGACGGGTCTTGTTGCAGCTGGACAGTGATGACCTCCTGGATGCCCCCGTGGAGGCCCAAAGTGCCTTCTACGAAGGTCCTGGGGTGAGTGAGTGTGGCCCCTAGTAATCTGCATGGCCCCAGGGTGGGGCAGGGAACGGGAGGAGGCCCAATGACAGAGGGGCCACTCGGCCTGGAGGCTTCCATAGGCAAGGGCAGTGGCGAAGGTGGGATCAGCCAGTCTTAGTGGTCTGGGGAGCTCAGGCAGATGCTGGCCACAGGGCTCACGGGGTGGGTGGGGTGCTCCTCTTGGGGCAGTGGGTGGGGGAGCCCAGGGGTCCAGCTCCCGGCTCAGCCATGCTAGGGGGTAGCCGGGGGTCTCCTCACCTGCAGACCTGTCTCCACCTGGAGAATGAAGGTGGAGAGCATCGAGCACCCACGTCACCGGCCTCCCCTTTCCCCCTTCTGCCCCCTCTTCCCTGACGTCATTGTAACTGCCATTCTCTGAGCTCTTATGTACGCCAGGTCTGTGTGGTAATTTTCATGTAGCTCTTACATCAACTCTAATACTGTATTCCAAGTAGCCCATCTTCCATAATGTACGTGATTAATTTAAAAAACCTAACAGTGATATGTCGTGTCACTTAGGTGTCATTTATAGACTTAGTAATGACCCTATATTTTTATTTTGTGATCATTTTGGGTTTTTTGTTGTTGTTTTATTCGAGACAGAGACTCACTATGTAACCCAGACTGGCCTTGAACTCAAAATCCTCCTGCCTCAGCTTTCCAAGTGCTGGGATTACAGGCAGGTACCACCATGCCCAGCCTTGTGATCATTAGTCTTATCATGGCTGTCATTTTTTTCTTTCTCATAAGTACCCCCTTTGGGCTTAAGCACTTCCCATACTTGCTGTTGGTTTCACACCTGTCCTAGGAGCGGGTTGGTTGTACAGTGGCAGTTAAGAACTGAGGGGCACTGTGGCCTGCCTGGTCCTCTGTTGAGGACCGAGCCAAGCTGCTTTGTGCCATACCTCCCTTCCTCTTACCTCCCTGTCTGGGGATGAGGAAGGAAGCAGCACTGCTTCACTGGGCTGCTGCTTATAACATGGGTGACGATAACAATGACAGTGGGGTTCCTGAGTGCCTGCTGGGAACTGCAGTAAACCCTGTAGTCAATTAACTGGAATCTTTCAGACTACAGGTTTCCAGACTTTGTCTGGTTAGAGCTTCCTGGTGATGACATGCCACAGGCATAAGTGTTGCTGGTGGAGCTTTGGTCACACCTGCCTGTTTTATCTGTACGCATCGTTGATTGCTGTACATCGCTGTACAGGCTGCATGGAAAGCAGTGAGGAGGGAGGAACTCACAGCAAGGTTGGCACGAGACTACTAGATGGCAGTAGCCGCTATACTGTGGTCTTTGACCCAACCTGGAATTTTTTTTTTCAGTACTTGGATTTGAACTCAGGGCTTCGCACTTGTGAGGCAGGCGTGCTACCACTTGAGCCATACTCCAGACCTTTTTGCTGTGTTTATTTTGGAGACAGGATCTCACTTTTTTCCCAGTTCTGACTGGACTGCAGTCCTCCTATTTTTCTCTTCCTATCATTGCTGGGATGACAGGCAAGCTCCACCATGCCCAGCTTTATTACTTTTAGATAGAGTCTTGCAAATATTTTTGCCTGGGTTGGCTTGGGACCACCATCTCTCCATCTCAGCCTCCCAAGTAGCTAGGATTACAGATGTGAGCCACCAGCAGCTGGACCAACCTGGGACTTTTATTGGCATTTTAGGGCCAGGCATGTTGCAGAACTCTGAATTTTTCAAATTCAGAAGGGAAATGTGATGTGTCTCACGTATCATGCATGTCACCACACACTTGTCTTTTGTTTTCTGGTACTGGGGATTGAACTCAGGTCCTCATGTAGCTCTCTAGCACTTGAGCCATGCCTCTAGTCATTTTTGCTTTTAGTTTGTTTTTTAGGTAAGGTCTCAGTTTAACTTTGCTCGGTCTGGCCTTGGACAGCAATTCTCTTTAATCCCGAGTAGCTGGGATTAAAGATGTGTGCCACTATGCTCAAAACATGTTTTGTGGCTGAATTTAGGGAAGAACAATGACACAGAGATGTGTTTCGCCAAGAGCATTGGAGCAGGATTGCTGCCATAAGAGTTATGAAGACACTGTTGGTTTTCAGAGCTTTTGGGGGTTTTGGAATCACAAATAAGTATTGGGCTTTTCTACAAGAATTTAAGAAATTACTTTGGGGAGAATACTGGGGGTTGAACTTAGGGCCTCGTGCTTGCTAAGCAGGTGTTCTACCACTGGAGCCATGCCCCCCAGCCAAAACACATTATTTTTTATGTCATGTATGGTGGTGCATACCTGTAATCTCAGCACTTGGGAGGTGGAGGCAAGAGGATGTTAAACTGGAAGCCAGCCTGCTCTATATAGTGAAACCATCTCAAAAAAAAAGGAAAACCAAAACCATGATTTTTATTGTCTTCTATGGATGGGTACAGATGGGGAAAATGAGGTCAGATTAAGGTGGCACCACCCACTCTGGCTGAGCTGCAGTGTGATGCAGCCACTTCCTGACAGAGTGTCCTTTCTTTGAACATGGCTGTCTGGACTCCCCTGTGCCCTTTCTAATCTCACTCTTGCCCTCCCTTCTTTTCTGGCCTCCAGCTCCATGTGCAGGAAGCTTCCGGCAACCACCTGAGCCCAGAGCCCAGCCAGCCAGCCCCCAGCGTGGACCTGGACTTCCTGGAAGATGACATCCTGGGTTCACCCGCCACGGGAGGCAGCGGCGGGGGTGGTGGAAGCGCTGACCAGCCCTGCGACATCCTCCAGCAAAGCCTCCAAGAGGCCAACATCACAGAGCAGACGCTGGAGGCTGAGGCTGAGCTGGACCTGGGCCCCTTCCAGCTGCCTACCCTGCAGCCTGCGGATGGTGGGGCTGGTCCAGCAGGTGCTGCCGGGGCGGCTGCTGTGGCCACAGGACCCCAGGCTCTTTTCCCGGGCAGTGCTGACCTGCTGGGACTGCAGGCACCACCCACCGTGCTGGCACATCAGGCCCTGGTGCCACCCCAGGACGTGGTCAACAAGGCCCTGAGTGTCCAGCCCTTTCTGCAGCCTGTGGGCCTGGGCAATGTGACCCTGCAGCCCATCCCTGGCCTCCAGAGCCTACCCAATGGCAGTCCTGGGGGCGCAACGGCAGCCACACTGGGCCTGGCACCCATCCAGGTGGTGGGCCAGCCAGTCATGGCACTCAACCCACCCACCTCCCAGCTCCTGGCCAAGCAGGTGCCTGTCAGTGGCTACCTGGCCTCAGCAGCTGGCCCCTCAGAACCAGTGACCCTGGCATCAGCTGGCGTGTCCCCCCAGGGGGCCGGCCTGGTCATCCAGAAGAGCCTCCCGGCCGCAGTGGCCACCACACTCAATGGGAACTCTGTGTTTGCCGGGGCAGGGGCCGCCACAGCAGCAGCTGGCGGGGCAGCCTCAGGACAGCCACTGGCAGTGGCCCCAGGCCTTGGCGCGTCATCACTGGTGCCAGCGCCCAACGTCATCCTGCACCGCACACCCACGCCCATCCAGCCCAAGCCGGCCGGCGTGCTGCCTCCCAAGCTCTACCAGCTGACACCCAAGCCGTTTGCCCCTGCGGGTGCCACGCTCACCATCCAGGGCGAGCCGGGGGCCCTCCCGCAGCAGCCCAAGGCCCCCCAGAACCTGACTTTCATGGCGGCCGGCAAGGCAGGCCAGAACGTGGTGCTGTCAGGCTTCCCAGCACCAGCCCTGCAGGCCAACGTGTTCAAGCAGCCCCCGGTCACCAGCGCAGGAGCTGCCCCACCGCAGCCCCCCGGGGCCCTGAGCAAGCCCATGAGCGTCCACCTTCTCAACCAAGGCAGCAGCATCGTCATCCCTGCCCAGCACGTGCTTCCTGGCCAGAACCAGTTCCTGCTGCCCGGCACGCCTGCCGCCGTGCAGCTCCCCCAGCCGCTCTCCGCCCTGCCCGCCAATGTGGGCGGCCCAATCCTGACAGCCACAGCTCCCCACGCAGGCGGACAGCTCATTGCCAACCCCATCCTCACCAACCAGAACCTAGCCGGCCCACTCAGCCTGGGCCCTGTGCTGGCCCCTCACTCGGGGGCCCACAGCACGGCCCACATCCTCTCGGCTGCCCCCATCCAGGTCGGCCAGCCAGCCCTCTTCCAGATGCCTGTGTCACTGGCCGCTGGCAGCCTGCCCACGCAGAGCCAGCCGGCCCCCACTGGCCCCGCTGCCACCACTGTCCTCCAGGGTGTCACTCTGCCCCCCAGTGCCGTAGCCATGCTCAACACCCCCGATGGACTGGTGCAGCCGGCCACCCCCACCGCCACCACTGGGGAAGCCACCTCTGTCCTCACGGTGCAGCCCGCCCCCCCGGTACCCGCTGCGGTCAGCACACCGCTGCCTTTGGGCCTTCAGCAGCCACAGGCGCAGCAGGCTGTCACCCCACAGGCCGCCACCCTGCCTCAGGCCACCACCCCACAGCCCAGCCCAGGCCTGGCATCCAGCCCAGAGAAGATCGTCCTGGGACAGCCGTCCTCTGCAGCTGCCACAGCCATCCTCACTCAGGACTCTCTGCAGATGTTCCTGCCCCAGGTACCTGCGCTGGGGTGGGAGGGGCAAAGCCGATGCCAGCCAGATGGCCACAGCAGCCAGCAGAGTCTCATGGTTAGGGACAGCATCTCCAAGATGGCACAGGCCGTTGGGGATAGGCAGGCCCCGAGGGAGAGAGGGACCCAGCCGAGTTGGCAGGGTGGTTGACAGACAGACAAAGGACAGGACTGGCTAAGTGACAGATAGACAAGAAGAAGGGTTGACAGGCAGGAGAGGGGATTTGTTCACCAAATGACAGACAAGTGAGGGGTCTCAGTGAGGGAGTGGGCAAGACACGGAGGAATGGACAAATGGACTGACAGGTGGCAGAGAGGGAGAGCATGTAGAGCTGAAGATGGGCTGGCAGCTCAGAGTGGACTGAGGTCCCCAGGTCACAGGCTCCCTGGCCTCCATGCCCAGCCATCCCAGGCCCCCGGCTGCCCAGCACCCCTTCTCTGGAGCCTCAGGAATGGCAGTCTCGGGTGGAAGGCCAGGGTCCCTGGGAGCTTTCTGACCCTGTGCGGCCACCTGTTGCAGGAGAGGAACCAGCAGCCCCTCTCCACAGAGGCCCCTCACCTCTCCGTGCCTGCCTCGGTCATAGTCAGCGCCCCGCCTCCCGCCCAAGACCCAGCCCTGGCCAACCCCACCGCCAAAGGAGCTGGCCTCGGCCCTCAGGCCCCCGACAGCCAGGCCTCCCCGGCTCTGGCCCCCCAGGTAGTCAACCCCAGCAGCCTCTGCGCTCAGCTAGACCCAGCCTCGGCCCTCCTCCCTACGCTCCTCCTCGCTCTGCCCTGCCTGCTCTGTCTCGCGCTCTCCTTTGTCTCCCACCCCCACACTTCCTGAAGGTCACCTGAGACCAGGGCCAACCCTGGGGGAGCCCACACTGTAGGCCGGTGTACAAAAGACAGCAGGACCAGAAATGCAGTAGTCCTGAAGTTACCATTCTCCCTACTGAGTAAGTAGCGCATCAGATAGCGTTTCAGAGGTTACTGAAAGCATATAGCGAAGAGCCCCTCTCCCTCGATCTGCAGAGGCCACTTCTTACGGTGCCTTTCTGTGCAGACAGCGAAACCGTGTGTGGACTCTGCTTCCCGTGTTCCAAAAAACAATAGAAGATGCTTTGATCATTTAAACTTGGTCTCAGATACAGTTCTTTGTTCCTTATACAACCGTGTAGTATCCCATTCTGTGGATGTGCTGCTTATTATTTATTTATTTATTTATTGGCAGTATTGGGGTTTGAACTCAGGACCTCAAGCTCTCTACCACTTGAGCCATACCCCCATCATTTTCTTTGCTTTAGTTATTTTTTTTACTTAGGGTCTCACACTTTTGCCTGGGCCCAACCTCAGACCTTGATCCTCCTACCTACACCTCCCATGTAGCTTGGATTACAATGTGCACCACCACACCTGGCCATGTGTTGTTTCTTTCGCCAGTTCTCATTGTTGGGCTTTTAAGTCACTCCTGACCTTCACCTATTATGAACAAGGCTATAGAGAACTTTTTTTTTTTTTTTGGCAGTACCGGGGTTTGAACTCAGGGCCTCATGCTTGCTAAGCAGGTACTTTTACCACTTGAGCCTCTCTGCCAGCCCAAGAGAACAACTTTGTATGTCCATTGTTTTGTAGTAGATATGTTCCTCAAAAGGAAATTCCCAGGCAGGCAGCAGTGGCTCATGCTTATAATCCTAGTTTAGGAGGCTGAGATCCAGAGGATCATGGTTCAAATGCCAGCCCAGGCAAATAATTCGTGAGACACCCCACCTCTCAAAATAACCAGAGCAAAATGAACTGTAGGCATGCCTCAAGCAGTAGAGCACCTGCCTTGCAAGTGTGAAGACCTGAGTTCAAATCCCAGACCCGGCAAAGAAAAAACGGAATTGCTGGGTGTGAAGGTGTATGTATTTATGTTTTTGACAGCTCTTACCAAGTTGCCCTCTGTGGAGTATAAATTGGTTTAGCCTTTATATTTCTTTTGCTGTGTGCTTTCTCTGAGTAAATTACAGAGAAGTCCAGGCGGAGGAGACATGGGTCCACTTAAGGTGACAAAGTATGACTGAGTACAGCACAGGTGCCCACATGGGGAGTGTGGACAGAAAATTCTGTAGGGGGTGGGGAGAAGCATTTCAGCTGAGGAAGAGGAGAGAATAAACTTGTAGGCAGCAGAATGGTACGGGAGCCTTCTGAGGTTGATGGAACACATGGCATGTGCAAAGGTCCTGGGGCTGAGATGAGCTTAGGATTTCTAGGGGATGGAAAGAAGACCAGATAGGATATAGGGCTGGAGAAGTCTACTGTGGTACCTCATGGGCCACAGTGGGGAGTTCAGGTCAGAAATCAGTGGATAATGCCAGCGAGGCCACTGGTTACTTGATTTCTATGCTCCCTGTGGCTGCCATTGGAAACTGGTTTGGTGGAGAACATGAGTTGACTGAGGTAGACCTCTAGGGTAAGGTGGCAGTGGCTCAGAGGCCAGTGGTAGTGACACTGGAGAGAAGTGAAGAGTTCAGATACTGTTTGGATTTGATTGTGGATTGAAGGTGTGAGTGACAACTACTCCACCAGCCGGAGCACTTCTGGTGTTTCAGTGCTGGCCCAAGCACTTTCCAGCCTTTCTTTCACCTAAACCTCCCAGCCACGCCCATTTCCAGGTGAGGAAATGGGCAAAGAGAGGGGAAGTAGCTTGCCTAGGGCTGCCCAGCTATAAGTGGCAGAGCCTGGGTTTAAAGCCTGGCACTCATTGCAGGACAGCTGAGGTCTTGAGATAGGCTGGCCTGGGCGTGAGTCCTGACTCTGCATTGTCAGGCTCTTGGGGTCATGGCTTCCATACCTATCTGAGAAATGGGAGTAAGGCCACCTCCCACACAGGGCACATGCAGTGATCAGACCTGTTCCCAGTGATGGCAGTGATGCTGGGGACTACCTTGGAGACAGAAGGTCAGGGTGCATGGGCCAGCTTGAGCTAGCACAGGGGGCGGCCCTTGGTGGTACCGCAGGGCCTGGTGTGACACAGGTTCTTGTGTTTGTTGGGTGAACAAGTGGATGGATGAATGAATGGCTGTGTGGTTTGGTGGTCATCCCAGTGTCCCCTGGGCTGAATCGCCCAGCTTGAGAACCACATCTAGGCATCTGGAGGAACCCCTTGCTGTCAGACCTCTGAACTCAACCCAGACAGATTGACAGCACGCACACGTGCACGTTTCCTCTGTGTGGCTGTGAATGTGACTTTGCTTATTTGACCATACGTCTTGGAGCATTGCCATTCAGGCTTGTCTTTCCCACCACCTGGGTGAGAATTCCATTTTATGCCACTACCAGATATGCATAAGTAATATGGGTCACTGGAACAAAAGTGACCAGCTAGTACTTGTCGGTGGCATGCGTGAAGTACTCTCTTCTGTTTCCTGTGTTCTTTCTTTCTTTTTATGGTACTGGGGCTTGAACTCAGGGCCTACACCTTGAGCTACTCCACCAGTCCTGTTTTTGTGATGGGATTTTTCAAGATAGGTTCTTGCAAACTATTTGCCGGGGCTGGCTTTGAACTGTGACCCTACTGATCTCTGCCTCCTGAGTAGCTAGAATTATAGGTGTGAGCCACTGGTGCCCAGCTTTCTTTCTTTCTTTTTGTGGTGGTGGTGATGGTTTTCTGAGAAAGGCGCTCACTGCCCCCCAAGTGCTGGGATTACAGGCGTGCACCACCACATCCACCTCCTGTGTTGTTGTTTGTGCTACCAGTGTTTGAGCTCAGGGACTCATGCTTGCTAGGCAGGCACTCTACCACTTGAGCCATTCTGCTAGCCCTTTTTTGTTGGTCATGATTTTTTTTTTTTTTTTGGCAGTAGTGGGGTTTGAACTCAGGGTTTCACATTTGCTAGGCAGGTTCTCTACCACTTGAACCACTCCGCCAGCAGCCCAGCCTTTTTTTGTGTTGGGGATTTTGTGTTGGGGTCTCACAAACTCTTTGCTCAGCTAGCTTCAAACCACAATCCTCCTGATCTCTGCTCCTGAATGGCTAGGATTGCAGAAGTGAGCCACTGGCACCGGCTCTTTACTGTTTGATTCTGTAGTCATCTCTGTGTATCCCCAGGTGATTGGTTCCAGGACACACACACACAGCACATATTGGAGACTCAAGTCTTTGCATATTGTAAATCCTCCTGTAAACTCTAAATCAGCTCTAGATGACCTATGATGCCTCATACGAGGTAAACTCTCAGTAAATCTGGTTAGACTGTATTGTTTAGGGAATGATGACAAGAAAAAGCAGTCCGTATATGTTCAGTACACATATATGTCTGTTTCTTTCTAACTGTGGCTAGTTGAGACCCAGGGTATGGAACCTGCAATCTGTAGGGCCCCTGTCTGGATATCCAGGGGTTTATTTATTTACACCCTCCCCCAATCACGACCACTTAATGTGGTTTCCCTGTCATGGTCAGCAAACAGGGAGAGAGATCCTGGCACCCACTGAATGTAACTGCGGGACAAGTTTCTAGAAATAGAATTGCAGAGTCTGAGGTAGGAGCTTTCTATACCTTCCATGGAGAGTGCCAACCCAGGTGCCCTCTCCTGCCCGAGGGCTTCTTCCCACAGCTCTGCTGACAGCAGGTTAGCCCTGGGGTGGGGGTGCCAGGCTGAAGAACATTATCCCTCCCCTCCTCTCTGATTGTGTGTGAAGTGAATATCTTGAAATTTCTTGGCAGACACTCAGGATTTTATTTAGTTAGTTAGTTAGTTCTGGGTAGTACTAAGGATTGAACTCAGGACCTCATGACTACTAGGCAAGTGATAGTTTTTATAAACAATTGTGAGTTGAGTGTGGTGGTTCATGCCTATAATCCCAGCTCTTTGGAAACTGAAGCAGGAGGGTGGAGAGTTCAAGGCCAGCCTGAACTATATAGTGTAACCCTGTCTTAGATAAAACAAACAAGTAAACAAAAAAATTGAGACTGGGAACCAGGCTTGGGGGTTCACTCCTGCAATCCTAGCTACTTGGGGAGGCAGAGATCTGTAGTATAACAGTTCAAAGCCAGCTTGGGCAAAAAGTTCTTGAGACCAATTAAAAAAAACCGATTAAAAAAATATGGGCGTGACGGTGTACGCCTGTCACCGCAGCTACACAGGAATGTAAGTAGGATCGTGGTCCAGGCCAGAGTGGGCATTAATTTGAGGCCCTGTCCTCAAAATAATTAGAGCAAAAAGCCTGGGGGCGTGGCTCAAGCAGTAGAGCATCTTCCTAGCAAATGCAAGGCCCTGAGTTCAAACCCCAGTCCCACCAAAAAAAAAAAAGATGGGGCCGGGGGTACGTGTGTGTGTACAGGGAAAGTGTCCCACCAGCCCTGCCTTACATTCTCAGCCCACTATTCCCTTGCTGGCTGCGTGCCCCGCAGACAGTCAGTCGGTTATCTTTGCACTTCCTTCTGGCTCTTCATGCATGTGCACTACTGCTTTACAGTACTGCAGTCGGTTCCCAGAAACCTGTACACCGTGCGGCCCGGGGAGGGGCCGTCGTTCTCCCACTGCAGTGCTGAAGGTTTCTTCTGTATGGAAGGACCCCCGCTGATGGGGTGTTAGATGTCACGCTGTCACTGGGCATGTCCAGGCTCTGCCCTCCACACGGAGCCACAGGAAACACCTCACTGACCTGTTGTGTCCCCCCATGTGTGGGTGGCTTTTGCTCAGTCTGCATAGTTCCCACTGACTTGCAGGGCTCTGGAGTTACTGTAGCAAATTGTCCCATTAGAGCCCTGTGGGTAAGGGTAAGGCATATATGGCTTCTTCCTAGTATGATGCATTAAGATTTGGTGTTCTAGAGCACTTTTTTCCTCCCCTTTATTGTTACTAGGGTTTGAACTCAGGGCTTCATGCTTGGTAGGCAGGTGCTCTTCCACTCGAGCCACGCCCCCAGCCCCTCTCCCTAAAACACTTTAAATGTGACTTTCTTAAGTCTTTCGTGTTTCCTTTTCTATGTGCTGTCTGGTCATAGTCTTGTCCCCTTTTCCACCAGTTATTCTTAGCGATTTCTAGTGGCTCTTTACATATGACAAAGAGGGGCTTTGTCTGTGTTCCAAATTACAGATATTTCCTCCATACACAGTGGCTGATGCCTGTAATCCTAGCCACTTGGTAGGCAGAGATCAGGAAGATCAAGGCTCAAGGCCAACAAAATAGCTCGTGAGACCTCATCTCAAAAAAACCCATCCCAAAAAAGGGCTGGTGGAGTGGCTCGAGTGGTAGAATGCCTGCCTAGCAAGCAAAAGGCCCTGAATTCAAACTCCAGGGTCTTGCACAGGCCAAGGAAGCACAGCACCACTGAGCTACATCCCTAGCCATGTTTGCATGGATTCATTGTTGTTATTATTTATTTGTTTCTTTTTAGAGGTAGGATCTTGCTATGTAGCTCTCACTGGCTTCGAACTCACAATCTTCCTGCATCAACTTCCCAAGTGTTGGGAATATAGGTGTGCACCACCACACCAAGCTAGGTTCATAAGAGTGAAAAATATTTTTTTAACTTGTTGGTATACTTAAGCTTTTAAGTATAGAAAAATCTCAGGATTAGAACAAAGAACTCCTGGGAATTTGTTACTCTTTAACTACATGTATCAGTTATGTATTGCTATGTAATAAATTACCCCGAAAATTTAGCAGCTTGGGCTGGAGGTGAAGCTCAGTGGCATGTGTGCAGTATGCAGTGAGGCCCTGGGTTCCATCCCCAGCACCAGAACAAACAAACTGGCTAAGCAGCTGAAAACAAGAAACATGAATGAGTCTCAGTTTGAGATCAGAAAACTGGAAGGAGCTTAGCTGTGTGGTTCTGGTCAGGGTCACCCATCAGGCTATGGTCAAGATGGCAACCAGTACAGCAGACACACAAGGAGAATCTGCTTCCTATCTTACTCCTGGCTGTTGGCCTCCCTGTGTGGTTCTCCCTGTGTGGGCCTCTCCAAAGGATAGGTCACAGCATACCAAAGTGACAAATGATCCCATAAAAAGAGTGAGAGAGCCAAGTGTGGTGGTACATACCTGTAATCCCAGCACTCAGAGGCTGAGGCAACACAGTGAGACCTTGTCTCAAAATATAAAAGAGAGGGAGAAACGGAAGGTAGGACCCAGAATAGGAGGTTCTGTCTTTTTTATAATCTTGGAAAAGATATGTGATCACATCTACTGAATTCCATTGGTCAAAAAAATGAGTCCTGGTACAGCGTGGGTAGGGACTGAATAGCAGGGATCCTTGGGGACTGGCCACCATGCCATACTTATTCATTCATTGTAAGCCTTTTGCAACATTTGCTTTACACTTACAGATACATGTTTTCCTCTGAATCACTTGATACTAATTTGCAGGCCTTATGCCTTTTTAGTTGCAATGTTTTAGTGCAGTGTTTCAACACTGGGGAACAGGAACATCTCTTATTTAACCATCACCCTCTTATCAAAGTTAGCAGGGACCCAGTACTGTCATGTAACAAGTGCCTGATAGATATAACACAGCTCACCAGTTGCTCAGCCATCAAATGTGGGGTCCTCTTACCTCCTTAGCTCTCTGGCACCACTGTGTGGCCATTCGCTGAGCCCCTGGAACACTGTTGAGGGCGGTATGAGTGGGCTGCTTCTCCTTAGGCAGCGCTGTTGGCTCTCTGTGTTGTTCCTGCTTTTCTTTTTTCTCTTTTTTTTTTTTTTTTTTTGGTGGATGTGTGTTGGACTGGGGTTTGAACTCAGGGCTTCACTTTTCTTTTTATGAAATTTTTATTAGGATATATTCATTATGTAGGGAGGGATTCATAGTGACAATTCTGATTAGGCTTATATTGTACATTAGTTACATCACCCCCATAGTCTCTCCCCCTCAACCTCCTCCCTGCCCCATGTGAAGCAATGCAAGAGGTTTCTTTGTTCTGTTTCATTAGGTATATGAAGTTCATCAACCATATACCCTCACCTTGATCTCCTTAGGGTTTCATTCTTGCAAAGCAGGTGCATTACCGCGTGAGCCACACCTCCAGTCAGTTTTGATCTGGTTATTTTGGAGATGAGGTCTCTTGAAGTATTTGCCCTGACTGGCCTCGAACCTCAATCCTTCCGATCTCACTTAGCCTCCAAAATAGCTAGTATTACAGGTGTGAGCCACTAGCATCCAGCCCCCACTTGTCCTATTGTAAATGCTTCCCAGTATATATCCCTGTGAGCAAGTGCCTGAATGTTCTTTGTTTTCTTTTCTTTTTCTTTCTTTCTCTCTCTGACTTCCTTTTTTTTTTTTTACCCCCAGTGCTGAGGATCAAACCCAGGGCCTCATGCATGCTAACCAGACTCTCTACCACTAAGTTACATCCCTAACCCTTTCTTCTCTTCTCAAAAATTTAAAAGTAAAATACAGCTTATTCTTTCCAAAAAGATTGCAAGGTCAAAAATATTGAGGACACTGACCCAGCCCTCTGCAGGTTCGTGGGGTCAGATGCCCATACCCCCCCCCACACACCCCAGCATCCCTTCTGAATGGTTAGTGTCACAGATTTCTGGACAAATATTGCCAGATCCAAGATCCTGACCAAAGCCCTCTGGAGGGTTGTCCAGGGGACAGTCCCATGAGCCACACTGGGGAGCCCAGGCTGCCCCTCAGACCTTGCATTAGAGGTGGTTAAGCCTAGGGACCTCTAGGTTGATTGTTTGATTGCATTATTTTGCTTGTGCTTGATTATTTAATTGTCAGAGGTTATTCAGGGCCATGTTTGGAAGGGATGCTGAGAGGGTCCCAGACTTGGAGTCACAAGCTAGTGACACTGTGGCAGCCTACGTGGGAGCCCTAGACAGATGCTCAGCTGTGGAGTGTGGCAGCTTTGTGGGGGCCTTGGGCAGGACCTCAAGCTGCTGGGGTCCTAGGTCCTCTCCACAGTCAGACTTGAGACTTTGCTGAGAGATCACTAAGTGCATGGATGCAGGGAGCACTGTGAGCACTTTAATCCCAGCTCAGTCCACCCTGGCTGGACATACCCCACCCCCCATCCCCAGTCTCTGTCCTTGTGTGAAATTGGTCCAGTGTCATCTCTGTGCTCAAGCCTCTGGAGAGATTTCTCAGGTTGGTGCGTGGCCATGTGGCTTCCATCAGTCAGGGTGCCAGCCCTGTGTTGGGTGCACAGCTGGCGCTCACTGGTTGCACAGTGGCTGTGGTGATGATTCTTAGGAAGACAGTGCAGAGGAGTGAGGCACTCCAGTGGAGACCTGCTTAGGGGAGGTCCCTGTGCTCCTTGCAGAATTTGTACAGGGTCCCGCCTAGGTCAGGCACACACACTGGGTAGGATTGCAGCCACGGTCACTGGCCCAGACCTGTAGAAGAGGCCCAAGACTCATCTGCCAGTGTCCAGGACCCCCACCCTGCGTGCTGTGAACCGGTGTGGTTGGGGCCCCCAGTTGCTCTCCTTGTCCTCCCCTCCCTGGGTCTCCTGGCCATCAGCCCCATGCCTGGTGCACAGCTCAGCCTCTGCCTTGCCTTGGCTGTACAGTGGCTGCAGGGCTGCAGCTAGCGCTGCTCCTCTGCCCCTTCCCTGCTGCTGCGCTGCTGTCTCCTGGCCTCCTACCTCTTGCTGGACTACAGGTGGTGTCCCCCAAGCTGTCCCCACCGCTGCTTCCTCCGCTGCTGCCACCTCCAAACCCTGCAGAGCTCGCCTTCATCTGGGGGAACAGAAGGGGTGCAGTGGGGCAGGAGAGGGAAAATGAGAGGGCAGAGAAATGTGGGGGAGATGGGGTAGGGGTAGGCGGGGTGAGGAGGGAGCTGAGAAGGATGAGGGAAGGGTGGTCAGGGTGGGGTCTAATCCTCAGGGCTGAGGTAGGCAGAGAGGAGTTTGGCTTCAGGGTGGCTGGGTCCCAGTGTCGGGGAGATGGGAGTCAAGGCTGGTCTGACCCCGCCCCTCCCTCTCCCTCCCTCCCTGCCCAGATCCCCGCAGCAGCTCCACTGAAGGGCCCCGGCCCCGCCTCGTCCCCATCACTACCTCACCAGGCTCCCCTGGGAGACAGCCCTCACCTGCCCTCCCCGCACCCAGCCCGGCCCCCTTCCCGCCCGCCCTCCCGCCCCCACTCCCGCCCTCCCTCCCAGCCCCAGAGCTTGTCCCGCCCGCCCTCCGAGCCGGCCCTGCACCCCTGTCCCCCGCCTCAGGGCCCCCCCACTCTGCCTGGCATCTTTGTTATCCAGAATCAACTGGGCGCCCCCCCACCCTCCAGCACCCCAGCCCCCACTGCCCCAGGCCCACCCCAGCCCCCTCTGCGTCCCCCCTCCCAGCCACCCGAGGGACCGCTGCCCCCAGCCCCCCACCTTCCCCCGGCCTCCACCCCCTCTACTGTGGCCTCCTCGTCTGAGACGTCCACCAGGTTACCAGCCCCCACGCCGCCCGACTTCCAGCTGCAGTTCCCGCCTGGCCAGGGGCCCCACAAGTCCCCCACTCCCCCACCGACCCTCCACCTGGTCCCCGAGCCCGCAGTGCCACCCCCACCGCCTCCTCGGACCTTCCAGATGGTGACCACCCCCTTCCCAGCACTGCCCCAGCAGAAGGCGCTTCTGGAGAGATTCCACCAGGTAACGAGAGGCGGGGACAGCCGGCCAGCCCGCCCCCAGAGCCCCGCCCTGCTGGGACGGCCCCGCCCACATGTAGCTGCCCTTCCCCCTCCGTCCGTCCGTACTTACGGGTGCCGGCATCCCTCAACCACCTGTCCCTCCTCAGGTGCCGTCCGGGATCATTCTCCAGAACAAGGCTGGGGGAGCCCCTGCCGCGCCGCAGACCTCCGCCAGCCTGGGGCCCCTGGCTAGCCCCACTGCCTCAGTGCTGGTCAGTGGGCCGGCCCCACCCGGGACCCCCACCGCTGCCAGCCACCCCCCTGCCTCGGCACCCATGGCCACCGCAGGTAGGAGAGAGCCCACTTGGAGAAACCTGGAGGGTAGGGGATTGGGGTGAGGGTGGCTGGAGGAGAGGCTGGGGCAGACCAGTCCTCAGGGCAGGTGGAGGAGGCGGGGCTGACAGAGCCAAGGCCAAAGGGCCACATGGTAAGCTGTGGGGCGAGGTCGGGGCTCAGGTTCAAGGAGGGCCCTGTCTCCCTCACCCACCCAGGCCTCCCTCCTCTGCTTCCTGCCGAGAGCAAAGCTTTTGCCAGCAATCTTCAGACCTTGAGTGTGGCTAAGGCTGCTGTGCCAGGGCCAGGGAAGTCCTCTGGGCTGCAGGTAAGGGGGCCTTGGAGCAGGGAGGAGGGCAGGACCATGACTGGGACCCAGGAAATGGCCTGCAGGGGAAGGATGAGTTGGGACCATCGGTCAGAGGCAGCCTTAGCTGTCCAACTAGGGCAGGAAGGGCAGGGGGCCACTGTCAGCTCAGAAATTAAACACCCAAGCAGCTGGAATGACACAGGCACCAGCACAGCTGGGTGACAATGTGAGAGACATCCAAGGTGGGAACAGGGGATGCTAAGATAGAAGGAGTGGGGACAGTATATAAGAGCAGTACTACAAGGTGGTCACTCAGGACAGGAGAGGTGGGGACAAGACAGATCAGATGGGCGGGGCAGGTCAGGGTGAGCCCTGGTACTGGAAAGGAGGATAGGGAAGGTGAGCCTGCCTGTCAGAAGAGAGGACAAGTAAATGTAAGACAAGGTGGGAGGGATAGGACCCCAGAGCAGACAGAGAGGACATGACAAAGGGGAGGCTAGGAGCGATTGGTTTGGGGGGGGGTTGGGGGGGTTAGGATAAGGATGCAAAGGCAAATCAAGATGAGCCAGGCAGAGGCACACAGACAGGCAGACCAGAGAGCCTGGGAGTGGGCACAGAGGACCCAGTTGGGGAGTACTGAGGTCTGGAACCTGTGTGTCACCCTCATCCTGCTCCCCAGCCAGATTGTCTCCCAGCAGGTTTCCCTCCTTTTTTTTTTTGGCGGCACTGGGATTTCAACTCAGGGCTTCAAACTTTCACACTTGCTAGGTAGGTGCTCTACCACTTGAGCCATTCCACCAGCCCCCCTTTTTTATGGTACTTGGATTTGAACTCAGGGCCTCACACTTGCTAAGCAGCCACTCTACTACTTGAGTCATGCCCCCAACCCTTTTTTGTCTTACTTTTCAGTTAGGGTCTAAATTTTTGTCCAGAAGATAGCCTTATACCTCAGTCCTCTAGCTATGCCTCCAGAGTAGCTGGAGTGACTGGTGTGAGCCATCATGCCCAGCTTGTTGGTTAAGATGGGGTCTCATTAGCTTTTTGCCTTGGGCTGGCCAAGAACCAAACCTTGGTCCTCCTGATTTCTGCCTCTGAGTATATGGGATTACAGCTACACCTCACCATGCCTGGTCCTCCAGCAGGTTTCTTTTGATGGGCAGGGATCCCACAGTTGTGGCCTGGTCCTCCCACCCATCTGTGCCTTAGGCTGGAGGGAGGAAGTTGGTCCCCCTGCAGTACCTGTCACTCACCTCTTTCCTTCCAGTATGACAGCAAGTTGAGCAGCCTGAAGAAGCCACCCACACTGCAGCCCAGCAAGGAAGCCTGGTGAGTGACAGACATTTGTCCTGCACCCAGGCTCCCCAGGGGCCCTGTCCCTCACGGCAGTTCCAGCTCCATGTACCCTTAGTCCTCCCTTATAGACCTCAGTTTCCCCTCTAGAAAGGGCAGTGGTTGGGTAGCAGTGACAGAGTGGAGGGGCCATATGTTCCCTCGGCCCCTCAGAGCTGGTGGGGCAGGACCCAGTGTGGCTTCCTGGGTTTGGGGGGCAGGGCTGGCCGAATGGGACGGGGCAGGTGGGCATTTGAGCTGAGTGTATGGAGGTGTGGATATCTGGATGGATGTGTGTTGAAGGGCAGAAGTGATGAGGTGGAGAGATGGGTGGATGGCCATTGGTAGGGGAGTTTAGTGGGCAAATGTTTGGTGTTTGCCCTCTTTCTGCTCCGTGCGTAGCCCTGGTGAGACGCTGAGAGCAGTAAACAGAACAGAGGTGCCTGGCCCCGCAGTGGGAGGGTCTTCAGGAGACAGGGGACACTAATCTGGTGGAAGGGTCATGTGATACGGAGACACAGGCCACTGTGACAGTTTTGTTGTTGTTGTTGTTTTTATTTTTGTGGTGCTGGGGCTTGAACTCAGGGCCTACACTTTGAGTCACTCCACCAGCCCTTTTTCTGATGGGTTTTTCCAAGATAGGATCTTGTGAACTATTTGTCCCGGCTAGCCTCAAATTTCAATCCTCCTGATCTCTGCCTCCAGAGTAGCTAGGATTACAGGTGTGAGCCATTGGCAGGCACCCAGCTGTGTTTTGTTTTTCAGGGTTTTTTTTGTTTGTTTGTTTGGTGGGACTGGAGTTTGAACTTGCAAAACAGGTGCTCTATGGCTTAAGCCACACTTCCAGTCCATTTTGCTCTGGTTATTTTGGAGTTAGGGTCTCTCAAGCTATTTGCCCTGGCTGGCCCTGGCCTTAATCCTCCCAGATATCAGCCTCCCAAGTAGCTAGGATTTCAGGCGTGAGCCACCTGCACCCAGCATGTGACAGGTTTTGTCAGAGAAAACAGCAGCCCAGACAGAAGGGATTTAAACTAACTCACCACCCCTAACCTTCCTCCCCACTCCCAAAATGCTCTTTTGCTGGAGGTGGTGGAGACATCCTGCCCCCACGTGGCGGGAGACGGAATTGCATGGAGATCCCATCTTCTGGGGCCTGGGGCAGAGTGACTTTCCCTCACCTTCTGGGCTTCAGTTTCCTCTTCTGTAGCGTGGGGATGCTGATAGCATCTGCTTACTTTGGCCTGTGGCAGGGAGGCAGTGGGGCAAGAGGAGCACGTGTGACACGCTCCCAAGCATAGTGCCCTCCCTGTGTTTACCACTGGCTTGAGGCTGAGGTCTGGGATCTGTTTCTGTGGCCCTCACCCCTTACCCTGTGGTCTCTATCCCCAACCCCGACCTCAGCTTCCTGGAGCATTTGCACAAACACCAGGGCTCCGTCCTGCACCCTGACTACAAGACGGCCTTCCCCTCCTTCGAGGACGCCTTGCATCGTCTCCTGCCCTACCATGTCTATCAGGGTGCCCTCCCCTCCCCCAACGACTACCACAAAGGTGAGGCCTTCCCACAACCTCTACCCTGGCCCCGAGGATACCCATCCCCCAGACCAGCCCTGGTGGGGCACCTGACTGCAGGGCGCTCTCCATGCACTGTCTTGTCTGCTCGAGCCCCCCACATCTCTGGCCCTGCCCGGCTTTTGTTCCTCACAGTGGACGAGGAGTTTGAGACTGTCTCCACGCAGCTGCTGAAACGCACCCAGGCCATGCTCAACAAGTACCGGCTCTTGCTCCTGGAGGAGTCCCGGGTAGGGCCCTCGACCCTTCCTGTATGGACAGGTCGGGAGGGAGGCAGGCGGTCCGATCACAAGGACAGTTTGGAGTCCTCTGTCCAAATTGTTAACTTGCTGCTGACTTTCCTTTTCTCCCTGCCCCCCCAGAGGGTGAGCCCCTCGGCAGAGATGGTGATGATCGACCGGATGTTTATTCAGGAGGAGAAGACCACCCTTGCCTTGGACAGACAGCTGGCCAAGGAGAAGCCCGGTGAGAGGGGAGGGGAGGAGAGGGGTTTCCACCGAAGCTCTGCATAGGATTGATGGCATTTCCAGCCCCAGGTGGGTGGTGCCTGAGTCCCACCTTCCTCCCTCACTGTGCCTTCAGATCTGTTTCTAACCCTGGATCCTGGGGTGGAGGGCAGGAGAACAGAGCCAGGACAGGGGGAGGCAAGCAAGGCTCCTGGGATGCCCGTGCCTACTTAGTGCCCATCCTGTGCTAGGACCACTAGATTGAGCCCTGCTTACGTCCTGCACCTTAATGTCTCTTTTCCTGCGCCCCAGGCTGTGGGAAAGGATCGAGGCAAACATTCAGCTCCAGGAAAAATATCATCCCTGCCTTCTGTCCCCAGACCTGGGCTCAGGATAGACCTGGGCTCTATCCTTGAGCTCTGGATCTTCTTTTTTTATTTATTTTTTTTAAGTAATCATTGGTACTTAGAAGTCTGAGCAAAGAGCCAGGTGCCAGTGGCTCACACCTGTAATCCTAGCTATTCAGGAGGTAGCAATCAGGAGGATTGCAACTTAAGGCTAGCCCAGGCAAATAGTTCACAAGATCCTACTCAAAAAAAAACCATCACAAAAAGGGCTGGTGGAGTCGCTCAAGGTGTAGGCCCTGAGTTCAAACCACAGTACCTCAAAAATTTAAAAGGAAAAAAAAGTCTGAGTGAGGGGCCATGGCACAGGAGGCAGCTCTGTGGTTGCTACTGCAGGAAAGGTTGGCAGCCTGGGGGTTGGTGGTGGGCAATGTGTCTTTCCGCAGCCATACCCATAGATGAACTGTCCTAGTTCAAGTCCCAGCTCTGCCAGTGCTGGCTGGATAACCTTGGGCAAGGCATTTAACCTCTCCATGCCTCTTTCTCATCCACAAAGTGAGAGTTGTGGTTCTGATGTATAGTCTCGTGTTTGAAACCCTTGGTATGTTCTGGAACTTTTTGCCTTTAGGAATGTATGTGGTGCCTAGATATGTCTTCTGATTGACCAGTAGTAGCTCCGGGAAGAACCCTGAGATCAGACACAATGCATAAATATTTCTTTTTTTTTTTTTTTTTCTCAGTGCAGGGGATTGAACCCAGGGCTTCCTGCATGCTAGGCATGCTAGGCGAGCTTGCTACCACTTGAACCACTGCCCAGTCCTTTTGTTTTCAATTTGTTTTTGAGACAGTGTGTCCCTGGTTACCTGAGTTGGCCTTGACCTCGAGATCCTCCTGTGTCTGTCTCCCTTGTAGCTGGTATTACAGGCATGGCCACCAGGCTGGGTCAGACACAGATCAGATCAGAGGGGGTAGGTCGAGACAATAAATAACTTCTGCCAGGGGCTGAGTGTAGCTTAAGGGCAGAAGGCTCACTCGGCATGCCCAAGGCCCTGGGTTCCATCCCCAGCATCTCAAAAAAAAAATGAACAGGAGTGTGGCTCCTGTGGTAGAGCACCTACTTTGCAAGAGTGATGCTTTCAAACCACATCCCATTAAAAACAAAAACACAACTATCTCTCTGTCTGTCTCTCTTAGCACTGCCAGGTAGAGCTATCCACAGTGAAGACGTCTGTACCTGTTTTTCAGCTAGGGTCTCCCCTGTCCTGCTACTACCTCTGCCTAACTAGAAAATGCACGTTTTTGTTTTGTGGTTCTGGGGTTTGAACTGAAGGCCTACACCTTGGGCCTCTTCACCAGCCCTTTTTCGAGATAGGGGCTTGTGCACTGCAGAGGCTGGCTTTGAACCGTGTTCCTCCTGAGTAGCTAGGATTACAGGCGGGAGCCACCAGCTGCACTTTGTTTTGTATTCTTCCTATTTATCTAACCCTGAGCCACCTGATGGTCCTACGGTTTTAGCTTGAGAGCTGCTGGTAACAGTGGCGTGGGGTGGTGTGACCTGAGGGTTTGCCTGGCTCTGGCCAGTAGTAGGAGCCTGGTGTCCCGCGCAGCCCCTGTAGCCTCGTACTTTTCCTGACCGCCTTGGTTTTCTTTGTCCCCCTCCCGGTCCTGCAGACGAGTATGTGTCTTCCTCGCGCTCGCTCGGCCTCCCGGTCCCAGCCGCCTCCGAGGGTCACCGGCCCCCCGGCCACGGCCCACCATCGTCGTCCTCCACGTCCTCGGCGCCACCCCCGCCGCACCTGCCCACTAAGCTCGTGATCCGACACGGCGGGGCGGGCGGCTCCCCGTCGGTGACCTGGGCTCGGGCATCGTCCTCCCTGTCCTCGTCGTCCTCGTCCTCGTCCTCTGCCGCCTCGTCCCTGGATGCGGACGAGGACGGCCCCATGCCCTCCCGCAACCGGCCGCCCATCAAGACGTACGAGGCCCGGAGCCGCATCGGCCTCAAGCTGAAGATCAAGCAGGAGGCGGGCTTCAGCAAGGTGGTGCACAACACGGCGCTGGACCCGGTGCACCAGCCGCCGCCGCCGCCGCCGCCCGCGCCCGCCGCGCTCAAGGCCGCCGAGCCGCCCCCGCGGCCGCCCGCGCCGCCCCCGCCGCCCGCCGCGCAGATGAACGGCTCGCTGGAGCACCCGCCGCCCGCGCCCGCGCCCGCGCCCGCGCCGCGCAAGCCCGCGGGGCCCGCCGCGCCCTGCCCGCGCCTGCCGCTGCGCAAGACCTACCGCGAGAACGTGGGCAGCCCGCGCCGCCCGCCAAGGTGGACGAGGCCACCAGCGGCCTCATCCGCGAGCTGGCGGCCGTGGAGGACGAGCTCTACCAGCGCGTGCTCAAGGGCGGCCCGCCCGAGCCCGCCAACGCCGCCGCCGCCGCCGCCGCCGCGCCACCCGCAGAACCCGCCTGGGACACCGCCCCGCTGCCCCCCGCCAAGCGCCGCAAGTCCGACTCCCCGGACGTGGACCAGGCCAGCTTCTCCAGTGACAGCCCGCAGGACGACGCGCTCACCGAGCACCTGCAGAGTGCCATCGACAGCATCCTGAACCTGCAGCAGGCCCCGGGCCGGACGCCCGCAGCCCCGTTCCCGCACGCCGGCCCGCGCCCGGCCGCCCGCCGCGCCCGCGCCCCTGCACAGGCCCGAGGCCTTCCCCGCCGCCAGCCACAACGGCGGCCTGGGCGCCAGGACGTTGAACAGATAACAGCGGGCCACCTCAGCCTCCTGGGGACACAGCCCGCCGGGACCCGCACCCAGACCGTTCTTCTTGCCTAAGTTATTTGAGTCACAAAGGCCGCCAACCCGCTCCTGATTCTGATTCCGCGGCTGTTGGGGTCCGGGTGCGGCCTGGGGGTGGGGGGGTGGCTGCAATGTAAAGTGTTCCCCTGCCAAAAGGGAGGGGCCTTCCCATCCCGGTGTCGCCGTCCTCGTGCGGGGGACACAGTGTGTGCACCAGGCTCGGGGTGTGACCTCGTGGTCACGGTCAAGGGCGCCCCGAGCCAGGAGGGCCAGCAGCCTCCCACCGGCCCAAAACAGCAGGACAGGGGGACAGGGGCGGGAGCCAGTGCGCCCTAGCCTGTGTGTGTCACATCCAGTCCTATGCCTGTGTCGTCCTTTGTGTGTGTGTGTGTGTGTGTGTGTAAGAGAGAGAGAGAGAGAGAGAGAGAGAGCGCGCGCGAGAGACACAGAGACAGGTGTGTGTGTGTTCCCGGCCCTCCACGTTGAAATCCCAGCATCAGACACCCGGGTCTTCCTCCACCTCCCCAGCTGTCTTCCCTCCAGCCGCCCGCGCCACGTTTTGAAATCTTGGAGACAAAACTAGTACTGTAAGATAATTTTTTTGTACTGTATTTATTGTGTATAACGATTTTTTTAAAGGAAAATTCTGTACATTTAGAACTCTTGTAAATTAAAAACCGATCCTTTTTTTAAAACTGTACTCAGGCCCCTTCTGCCCCTTTGCTTTTGGGGATTTGGGGGAGGGGAAGTTTGGAGTTGGGGGGTTGGAGATAAGTCTATATGGGGAGGCCTTTCCCATGTGTGTTTGTTGAGTGCCTGCTAGATCCCACACAGGCCCTGTTCTAGGCTCCAGAGTGCAGCATGGACAAGACAGAGGAGTCCCTGACCAGTTGGGAAGCAGACTTGTCCCTGGGGTTGGACACAGAACAGCCAAACTAAATGTAGTCACTTCTTACTATTTCCTGTAAGGTTCTGTGGTCTCCACAAATCCTCTGTGAGTCACAAAACACAGCCATAGCTCCTGGGGAAATACAGGGTTAGGGTCCTCATGGCTACTAGTCACAGTATTGTCATCCACCCATCCATGCAGCACCTTGTTATATGTGTGTTATGTTTTATTTAATGTATACAATTGCACCTTCCCCCCCATCCATCCATGGGTTCCATATCTGTGGAATCAACCAGCCACAAATCAAAAATACAGGAGGAAAAATAGAGCCAGGCATGGTAATCCACACCTGTAATCCCAGCCCTTGGAACCTGAGGCATGAGGATCCTACAGGTCAACCTGGGCCATGGGGTGAGACTTGTCTCAAGCAAAGAAAGAAGCAATAAAAGAAAAAGGAGCTGGTGTCCAGGCTGAAGGAATGCCTCAAGTGGTAGAGCGCTTGCCTAGCAAGGGCCAGACCTGAGTTTAAACTCCAGTACTGCCAAAAACGAAACAGAGAGAGAGAGAGAGAGAGAGAGAGAGAGAGAGAGAGAGAGAGAGAGAGGTGGTTCCTTAGAGAGGCAGCCTGGGAGGCTGCAAGGTCATCAGGAAAGTTAGATGACAGAATAGATTGCAGAGACTCCTCGATTTGGAGAACACAGAGACCAGACAGCACCCAGGCTATTCAGGTCTCAAGTTGTATTTTAAAAGACAGGAGGAGCAGGGCACTGGTAGTTCACTCCTGTAATCCCAGCTACTCAGGAGACAGAGGTCAGGAGGATCATGCTTCGAAGCCAGCCCAGGCAAACAGTTCGAGAGACCCTATCTCAAAAAAACCCAGCACAACAAAAAGACTGGTGGAGTGGCCGAGTTCAAGCCCCAGTACCACAAAATAAGTAAATATAAACAAATAAATAAATGACCCAACTTGGGACTGGGATGCAGCTCTGTGGTACAGCACGTGCCTAACAGGTGCAAGGCTCTGGGTTCAATCTCCAGCTCCCAAATACAAGTAAATGTTTTTGTTGCATAAAAAATATTTATGAAGTTAAATACTTTAATTAAAACATCTTTTCTGCATGTTGGGCACTGTTATAGACACTGGGGTGACAAGAGGGAGCAAACAGCTCTTATTGTGTGGCTAATGTTGGGGGAGGGGCTTAGACATGAGTATCCTACGTAGAGGTCATGGTGACAAGTGGGGATCGGGAGGAGGCAGGAGAGTCAGGGACTGCATGGGGTTTCACTGAGGAGGAACCATTGTAGCAAAGTGCTTTTGTGAAGCACAGCTAGAAATGTATAATGGGAAACTGAGGCATGGACAGGCCCTGAGTTTCTTTTCTTTTTTGGGGGTGCTGGGAATGGAACTCAAGGCCTCACGCATGCTAGACAAAGGCTCTACCATTGAGCTACACCCCCAGCCCTTTGGCATGTACCTTTTTTTTTTTTTTTTTTTTTTTGGCAGTACTGGGGTTTGAACTCAGGGCCTTCACCTTGAGCCACTCCACCTGCCCTATTTTTGTGAAGGGTTTTTTCGAAATAAGGTCTCTTGTCTCTTGGAACTATTTACCTGGGCTGGCTTCAAACCAAAATCTTCCTGATCTCTGCCTCCTGAGTAGCTAGGATTACAGGTGTGAGCCACCAGCTGTACTTTGTTTCTGAGATAGGGTCTGGCTAACTTTGCCTGGGCTGGCTTTGAACTCCAGATCTTCCTGCCTCAGCCTCCCAAGTAGCTGGGATTACAGGCATAACCAACACGCTCAGCGAGCTAGTTTCTTAAGCACTTGCTGTAGACCAGGTGCAGTGGTAAATCCTGAACAATCTCCCAGGTTTCTGAATTCACTTCTTTGGTCCCTCCCTGTAAAGTGGGGGCAACAGTGCCTACTTCCCTGGGACACATGAGATAACACACAGGAGCTTGCCTCACACAGGAAGTGCTCAGTGTAAGAGATTTGTCACCGTGTAGGTACTGAGCCCCAGTGGGGAAGCAGGCAGGGTGCAGGAAGCCATGAGCCTTGTTCCCCTCAGAGTGTAGAGAAATGACTGCAAGTCCAGGTGTAGTGGTTGTTAGAACTGTGGGGGGTAGGGGGAAGCAAGCAGGGGTAGATGGTCTGTACTATGTTAGGCAGGAAAATCAGGGAGGGCATCTCTGAGGAGGTGACCTGAAGGAGGGGAAGAAGCAAGCCCTACAGGAGAAGGAAGGGCCAGTGCAAAGGCCCTGAGGTTGAAGGGATCAGCAAGGAGGCCAGTGTGAGGGAAGCAGAAGGAAGGAGGGAGGGAGGATGGGGTGTGGACAGGGTGTGCTGCACCTTGTGCACCAGGTAATGACCTTGACTTTGACTGAGTGACAGGGGAGCCAGAGGAGTTTCATAAACCACTTACGTTTTAAAATTGTTATTAGTATCGTAATGGGGTCTCACTATATAGCCCAGGCTGGCCTCCAATTCGCTATGTAGCCCAAGCTGGCCTCCAACCAGCCATCCTCCTGCCTCAGTCTCCTGAGTGCTAGGATTACACACGTGCACCCAGGTAATTTGTTAGTATTATTACTATTGTTGCTGCTGCTATTTTTATTCTCATGCTAAAAAGAGAGACAGGTTGGGGGCGTGGTGGGGTGAGATGGCCCATTGCCCATGGAGGAGGCGGAATTCGAACCTGGGACTGGAAGCCAGCGTCCCTTGCCCGCTTCGTCCGCGCTGCCCTCAGTGCCCGCCAGGGGGCGCCGGAGGCCGGGCTCGGGCCGGGGAGGGGGGCCGCGCGTCCCGCCCGCCCGCCCCGCCTCCTCCCGCGGCCCCACCCGGCTCACTCACTCCGGACGGGCCGCGAGCACAGGCCGCTCCTCGGATCCCCGCGACCCCGCCCGGGTGAGTGCTCCCCACTGCAACCCCAGCTCCCCAAACCCCAGCCTGCCGCCCCTTCCCTGCCTGTAACGGTCTCCCCCGGGTCTCCAGGTCCCTGCTAGTCTGCAACAGTGTCCCCAGTTTCTCAGTCCTCACGCTTTTCCTCCAGGCCCTCCCAGTCTTCCCCAGTTCTCCCAGTTCCCCAGCCGCACCCCCATCAGCTAGCTCCCCCAGTACCCACCATTCCCTTCCAACCCCCTCCCATCCTCTCAGCTGGAGATCCCCTTCTTCAGGTCACCCTCATCCATCTCCTGCCACCCAGGAGTCCCTCTCCTGACTCACCAACCCCAGAGCCCCTTCAGTCCCCCCTAAAATGGGCACCAACTCCCCATTCTGCCTGGGACTCCAACCTGGGTCCCCACTCTGCTCCTGTCCAGCCCCTGCTCCTGCCTCTCCCAATCCTCCTCTAACTCCTTTCCTTCTGTCCTCCCCCTTTTTAAGTGTCCTTGTGACTTTCTGGATTTTTAACATGCTTGCTGTTTCCTTGGTCATGGATCCCCTTCGAGCTGGACGCCCTGTCCCTATGACTGCCCGGTGGATCTTTGAGCTCCTCTAGCCCTCCAGTCTAGACTTGTCCTTTCTCTCCTGTGTTCCCTGCAACCCTCTGCTAGCCTCTTACTCCCTGAAGGGCCTGTAATAAAATGATGCCTGAAAAATAAAAATGCCAGCCTCCAGAAAGGGGCATATGAGAACCTTATTTATGTAGCTGTCCGCTTTTTCTCCAAGATGCCCTGGATTCGTTCAGTGGAGAACGGTATTTACCAATTATTTTTTTTTTTTGGTGGGGGGAAGCTCTCTATTTTATTTTGATATTTACCAATTCTGATTGAAGCAAAAGCTGGTTCTATAAAAAGATCACTAAAATTATAAGTATCTACTTAGACGGATCAAGATATGAGAGAGATCAGTGACCTACAAAAGAGAGAGAGAGAGAGAGAGAAAGGGAGAGGGCTCAAAGACCTACTACTGATACCAGGAAGGAAAGAGGGAACATCACTATAGACCCTACAGAGAATCAAAGGCTACTCCAGAATGTAGAGAACATGCTCTGATTGCAAGGGGTGCTCATTGCTGCTGGGGTGGTGATGGTGTCTCTCTCTAACTTAACTCCTTAAACCTAGGATGGGAAGTGGGCTCTGAAGATGGGTTTCCTGTGCGTGAGTCCCAGCGAAGTGACCTTGGACAAGCAGCAGGGTTATGAAGATTAAGTGTGCTACTATAGCGTCAGGCAGGCATGCAGTGATCATTAATGTTGAGTTATTATTTCTCATTAATTCCCAAGGCCCCTCCCCACCCTTGTCTTTTGTGATCAGCTTCTCATGTCCTCTCTGGATGCCTGGAATTTCATAGGCATCATTAACTGTTTTGTGCCCAAGTCCTCACTGAGGGCTCACTAGTCCCAGCCTCATTTCTGGGTTCAGAGATCCTGAAGCATGGAGTGAGTGATTTCAGTGAAAATATGTCAAATAATAGAAAGTGAAAAAGAGGAAGAAAAGAATGGAAACTGGGTGTGATGGTGCATGCCTGTAATCCCAGCTACTTGGGAGGTGGAGGTTCAGGTTTCGAGGACAGCCTGGGCAAAGTTAGAGACCATCTGAAAAACAAACTAAAAGCAAAAGGGTTGGAGGTGTGGCTCAAGTGGTAGAGATCTTGCCTAGCAAGCACAAGGCCCTGAGTTCAAACCCCAGTACCAGAAGGAAAGGATGGGTTCAGGACTGCATTCTTTCTAGGATATTTCCTTTCTTTCATTCACCCCTTGGTCCTTCACCATCAATTTCCCCTTCTTGCCCTATACCACCATTAATCTCCTCCAGCTCGTTCACTATGACGCCCTCTTTCTGCTCCCCTTCCCTTCCCCACCCTTCCCCCCATCTCTCCACCTAGCCATTCTACCTGCAGGCTGGTCTCCTCCCACAGGTAGCTCTCCACCTGCCAGTCTCCTTTGGTGAGCCCAGTGGGCAGCGCACACCCACCATGTTCAGCTGGCTGAAGCGGGGTGGGGCTCGGGGCCAGCAGCCCGAGGCCATCCGCACGGTGACCTCATCCCTCAAGGAGCTGTACCGCACCAAGCTGCTACCCCTGGAGGAGCACTACCGCTTTGGGGCCTTCCACTCGCCCGCCCTGGAGGACGCTGACTTTGACGGCAAGCCCATGGTGCTGGTGGCTGGCCAGTACAGCACGGGCAAGACCAGCTTCATCCAGTACCTGCTGGAGCAGGAGGTGCCCGGCTCCCGTGTGGGGCCTGAGCCCACCACCGACTGCTTCGTGGCTGTCATGCACGGTGACACTGAGGGCACAGTGCCTGGCAATGCTCTGGTCGTGGACCCGGACAAGCCCTTCCGCAAACTCAACCCCTTTGGAAATACCTTCCTCAACAGGTGAGGCAGCCACCAGCCAGCAGGGCATCCTTTATCCGTGGATGTATCCTGTTTCTGTTGATTCCTTTCTGCCTGGTTCTTCCCCTCCTTGCATCTGCTCTCTGCACTTCCCTAGGGGAACCTGGGTTCCAGTCCTGATTGCTGCTGGCTAGCTGGGCAGCCTTGGGCAAATGAGAGCCTGTGTCTCTCTTGCTCAGCTAGAAAATGGAACCATAGTCTCTACCCGCCCCCCAGGGTTATAATAACGACTTGGAACAGTCACAGACACAAAGCAAGTTCTTGGCAAACGTGAGCTCTGATTTTCTTTTTTTTTAATAGTCTGGGTTTTTTGTTGTTGTTGAGATAGATTTCTTGCTATGTAGCACAGGCTGGTCTAGAACTCGTGATCCTCCTGCCTCTGCCTCCCTAGTGCTGGGATTACAGACGTGCACCACCACGCCCTGTCAGAGCTCTGATTTTGTTTAGGATCCAATTCTTCCTCCTGATTGTCCCTCTTTCCAGGTGCCTCCATCCTCTGCACCTGTGCAGGCCTGTTCCTCCTGCCCTTCCCTGCACTCACCCCTGACCTTTCTGCTCCCCCAGGTTCATGTGTGCCCAGCTCCCCAACCAGGTCCTGGAGAGCATAAGTATCATTGACACTCCTGGCATCCTCTCAGGCGCCAAGCAGAGAGTGAGTCGAGGTGAGCTGAGCGAGGCCCTATCCTGGTCTGAGGGAGGAGGCTAGGGCCCCTCCTGGGACTCCTGGCATTCGGTGGCTCCAGGGCAGGCAGGGTGGCAGAAGGGAGTGGGAAACCCAGATTCCTCCCGGTTGGTGCCGGGGGAGGGTGGGGGAGGCTGTGGCTGAACACGTGTGAGCAAGCTGGGGCCGCATGTCTGGGCGGGCCAGGAGGGTGGCAAAGGAACGACTGAGAGAGACAGAGATGGGGGACAGGCGGGGAGACCCAGAGAGAGCAGACCTGGGGCAGGGAGGCCCAGGGCCTTGCCAGCTCCGGGCTTGGCGTCAGGGCCACAGATGGGGCTGATGAGGGGCGGGAGGGGGAACCTGGGCGGAGGCCAAGGCCGGGCCTGGAATTTATAAACAGCTGTGCAGGGGGAGCGGCGGGGGGTGAATTCCAGCGGGGCCCAGGGAGCTGTCCCCACCCACCCAGCGCAGCGCCTGGGCGCCCCAGTCCTTCCCCTCCCCAGGCTTTCCGTCCGCACCCAGCGAGCGCAGCCTGCTCGGCCTGGGCGCCCCAGTCTCACTTCCATCCCCGCCCACCTCCCCCTTCAGCTTCCCTCCCCTCCCCCTCCATCCCTCCCCAGCCCCTGGTCCCCGCCCACCTCTCCCCATTTTCTGATCCCGGGCTACCTCTCCTTCCCAGCCTCCCGACACCGCCCACCCGGGCCTGGGAGCCGGGCACTGGGGCAAAGGGGTCGGCGGTGTAGGGCAGAGGGGACCCAAGGCCCGCGGAGCGGGATCGGCCACGGCGGGGGGGGGGCCGGGGTGACCGTGTCCCTGGCCCCTGTCCAGCCGCGGGGTCCCGCGGGAGAAAGGCGGGAGGCAGCTGCAGAAGCCATCTAGGGGCGCTGCCAGCCCCGGAGGAGCTCCTGCGCCCCACCCCCGCAGCTGGGCCAGGGACCGACCCGAGAGGGGCGGGGCGCCTAGCACCGGGGACGTGGGGGTCCCCTTCCCCGGCTTTGAGGGAGGACAGGAGTCTCCCTGCTGATGTGTGCGCATGGGACACGGGTGGCGTGTGTTGGGGGACCCGCATGACCGAGATCGTTCCTCTGGGGTGTGAATCGGTGGAAGTGTGTTGGAGATACTTTATGTGCTTGTAATCGCGGGTGGATGACACTTTGAGTGACTCTGAGGGACTCTGTGGGACTTTGTGGGATTATCTGTGACTGCCTCTGTATACAGTTATATTGTGAAATACACATGTGGTGGGGCACACCTGTAATCCCAGCACTCAGGAAGCAGAGGCAGGAGGACCAAGGGTTCAAGGCCAGCCTGTGCTACATAGTGAGCCCGTCTCAAAAATAAAAGAAAGATGTGTGTATGAGTACATGTATGTCTGAAAAGTCTAACTGTGGATAATTTAGTGTCCGTCAGGGAAGTTGTGTAATTGTGGCCGTGAGTCTGATGTGTGCATATCCGTTTGGGCTGTGCTTGCAGTTATACTGGTGTGTGACTTTGTGTGGTTGAGTAGGACAGGAGCTGGCTGAGGGGACCCTGTTGCCTGTGATTGAATCTTGGTACACAGCCATGTGCCCGTGTGTGCGCAAGTGTGTGTGCAGCAGTGTATCTTTTTTTTTTTGGTCCTGGGGTTTGAACCCAGGGCCTGGTGCTTGCTAGGCAGGTGCTCTACCACTTGAACCATGCCCCAGCCCTTTGTGTTTTAGTGATTTTTCACATAGGGTCTCTAGAAAGTCTGGGTTAGCCAGGGCCTTGAGCCTTCCGCTCCTGCTTCCTAAGTAGCTTGTGCCACCATGCCTCTCTAGTTTTTGTTTATTTTTGGTTTTTTTGGAGACAGGGTCTCATCTCACTATGTAGCTGGCTTCAGTCTCCCATGAGCTCTGCCACTTTAACCTGTGACACCTTGAGTGAACCACCCCACCCCTCTGTGCCTCACTCAGTTTCTTCCTGTGGGTGTTGTTTGGGCCTCCTAGGCTGCCACAGTGATTGTCAGTTACATCAGCAAAGCACTAGTGTGCAGCACACAGTAGGTGCTGTGCATGTGCTAATGAGGACTGTTTTTCTTGGGCAAGTGTCTCTGGTTCCTCTGTGCCACGTCTCCGTTCCCATGGCTGACTCAACCTCCCGCCCTCCTTCCGTCCCTGCCCCATGAGACACACTTTCCAAATCCAGGCATGCGTGTGTGTGTGAGTGTGTGAGTGTGTGAGTGTGTGTACACTGGGGAGGGAAGGGAAGGCCCAGCCATCATCCCTCCAGTGGCCCAGCCCTTCCTCTGCCCAAACAATGTTCCCACTGCTCCCTGTTCCTCCTTCTTCCTTCTGGGCAGGGCAAGGGGCAGTACCAGCTCCCCAGGGGGCCCTCTGCCCTGTGCCCTCCTACCTAAGTGTCTTTAATAAGTCCTTCAGCCTTTTGTTCCTTAGTTTTCTCATCTAGAAAATGGAATCATAAAGTGCCTGCCTGCTGGTATCCTTCAGATTCAGTAATTCCATTTTATATACTACTCAACTGATGAACATCACTGGGGGGCCCCCACCTCCAGGAAGCCCTCCTAACCCCCCTCCCAGCCCCCCAGCTGGGTTAGGCATCCCATCTGAGCTCCTGCAGATCCATAGGACCCCACATCCCATGCCACCCAATCTGGAAATGGGTCTGTGTCCCCAGTGGGTTGTAAGCCTGGAAGGACCTGACAGGAGGTGCAGGCAGGTAGTAGATGGCTCCAGAATCCCCCAAACCTCACATGCCCCGTGACTAACATTTGTGGAGCATGTGCTTGGCACCCAGCACTGTTTTGTTCCTTAATAGTTTTCTCAAGGTGTAATTCATCTGCCCAAAAGCCTTCCCACTTAATTATTTGATTGATGGGACTGAGATTTGAACTCAGGACTTCATGCTTGCAAAGCAGGCACTTTATCACTTGAGCCACAATTGCTTTGGTTATTTTGGAGATGGGGGGGGTCTCTCAAGAATGCCAGGACTGACCTCCAACTGTGAGCTTCTGGATTTCTGCCTCCTGAAAAGCTAGGATTATAGATGTGAGCCACCATGCCTAGCTAAGCCCTCTCACTTTTAGTATACAGTTCAATGCCAGGCATTGTTTTAAGTTCTTTATATAGATTAGCTCATTTTGTCACAATAGACCTCTGCGGTAGGTCATATTATGATTTTCAGTTTATAGAACAGGAAACAGAAGTCCAGAGAGGCTAAGCTACTTGCCTGAGGACACACAACTGATGGGGCAGAGCCAGGATTCAAATTTAGGTCTTCATGACTGCCAGGTGTGTATATGTGTGTGATTTTCTCAATCACTCCTCTCTGCTCCCCCCAGCTTGGCTTGTCATTGATCAAATCAGTGAACAAGCAGAAGTGAGAGGGAGTGAATGAATGAATGGTGAGAGGAATGAGTGAGTGAGTGAATGAATGAATGAACAAAGGAGTCACCTGCTGGGATGGATGTTCTGTGAGGGTAAGAACCTTGTCTATGTTCTCTGTGACATCCCCAGGACCCAGGACAGGGCTTGGCACGTGTGAGTCTCTCAGTAAACATTGTTAGGTAAAAAAAAAATATTGAAGCCAGGCGCTGGGAACTCACCTGTAATACCAGCTACTTGGGAGGCTGAGATCAGGAAGACCATGGTTCCAGGCCAGCCTGGGCAAACAGTTTTTAAGAACCAGAGCAAAATGAGCTGGAGGTGTGACTCAAGCAGTTAGAGCACCTGCAAGTGGGAAGCCCTGAGTTCAAACCCCAATCCCACCAAAAAAAAAAAAAGTTGAACATTTCCAATGACAAGAACGTAACAGTGCCACCTTGAAGTGTAGTCCCTGGATGGTTCAGAGATCTGATTGGTCCTGGAGGGGGCGCAGGTGACAGAGGCACTCAGGAGGCCATCACGGAGTGATGGGGTCTCTTGGCAATGCTGCAGTGTTGTAATGAGTAATACATCCATTCACAGCTCTCTAGCAAGTAAATAAAAAGGTGTAGGATTTTTTTTTTTGGAGGGGAGGGGTGGTGGTGACTGCACCAGATAGCTGGAGGGGCCCGAGTGGTGGAGGAAAATTCCAGGTGCTGGGGACACTTGGGGCCTCAGGCTGATCCAAATCAATAGGATTTGGACAGTTAACAACCTGAACATCTGTACAGCCCGGACGAATGGATGCCACTGACCGTCCCCTTTGTCCCCGCCTCCCCAGGCTATGACTTCCCAGCGGTGCTGCGCTGGTTCGCGGAGCGCGTGGACCTCATCATCCTGCTCTTTGACGCGCACAAGCTGGAGATCTCAGATGAGTTCTCCGAGGCCATCGGTGCCCTGCGCGGTCACGAGGACAAGATCCGCGTGGTGCTGAACAAGGCGGACATGGTGGAGACTCAGCAGCTGATGCGCGTCTATGGGGCGCTCATGTGGGCGCTGGGCAAGGTGGTAGGCACCCCCGAGGTCCTGCGGGTCTACATCGGCTCCTTCTGGTCCCAGCCGCTCCTGGTGCCTGACAACCGGCATCTCTTCGAGCTGGAGGAGCAGGACCTCTTCCGTGACATCCAGGGCCTACCACGTCACGCCGCACTGCGCAAGCTCAACGACCTGGTGAAGCGCGCCCGGCTGGTGCGGGTGAGCTGGCCATTTCTCCCTCCATCCTGCCAGTGTTGCTGAGCCCACTCCCATCTCACTGCACAAAAGCCAGGTCCTCTCTGCGGGCCCCCCCCACTCCTTCCCCTGTGTCCTCATTTCCCCTCCCTTCCCAGCATTCATTGCACCTGCCTCAGGGCCTTTGCACTTGCTGTTGGCTCTGTCCCACCTGAGTATCCACATGGCTCACTTCTCATCTCTTTCCAGTTTTTACTCAAATGTGGCCTTTTCAGGAAGGCCAGTCCCTGGCCTCCTGGTTCATGAACATAACAACCACCCCTCTGGGGCTCCTGCTTTATTGTTTACCCTGCTGTAGTTTTCTCCAGGGTCAGTCATTCATCAGCATCTGTTTACTGTCTGCCTTCTCAACACATATTTAAGCTCTCCAGTCAGGGGTCTTTGAATTCCTTCACTCAGGCATCTCCAGCACTTGGAGCTCAATTGCTGTGTAAATATTTGTGGAACGAATGTCACTAGAGAAACTCAAATTTAACAAAGTCTCCTCTGTGTCTGGGCCCTCTGCTGGGTGGTGCTGGGGACGCAGCAGCAGTGGCCAAAATAGTTCTAACCCTGCCCTGCTGGAGCTCCAGGTGCCATCTGTAAACCATGAGAACCCAGCATGGTCAGGGCTAGGGCTGGGTAGCTCAGTGGGAAATCAGGGAGGGCTTCTCTTAGGAGAGGTGAGGAAAATGTCAATGTCAAACCCAGTGTAGACAGTTCCATTAATTTCATTTGAGGGTGGGGAGGTGGTAGAAGTCAGAACACTTGGGATTCTGTAGTTATGTAAAAAAAAAAAAAAAACAGAAAAAAACCCTATGCTTTGCAGGTGCCAGTGGCTCACGCCTGTAATCCTAGCTACTTGGGAGGCTATCAGGAGGATCTCCATTTGAAGCCAGCCCAGGACAAATAGTCAAGGGACTCTATCTACAAAATAGCCATAGTAAAATGGACTGGAGGTGTGGCTTAAGTAGTAGAGCACCTGCTTTTGCATGCACGATGCCCTGAGTTCAAATTCCAGTACAACCAAAACCAAATCAAGCCTGTGCCTTGTTTCAAGGGCACAGAAGGTTTCAGAGCAGGGGAAGCACAGGATTACACTCACGCTGCCTTCTGCAGGGTGGATTCAAGGCTGGGGGAGTTGAGCGGGGCTGGAGACCAGGGAGGAGGCTAGAGTGACCTTGTGGGGGCGGGGAGAGAAGGGGGGAAAGAGACAGGAGAGAGGGGAGGGGGGAAGAGGGGAGGGAGAGAGGGAAGAGGGGAGGGAGAGAGGAGGAGGGGAGAGAGAGAGAGAGAGAGAGAGAGAGAGAGAGAGAGAGAGAGAGAGAGAGAGAGAGAGACTGACTTTGGAGGCAGCCAGGGATGGAGGTGGGGCAGGAAGCTGGGCAGGCGGGGAGGCCAGGAGGCTCCAGGTGGCGGAGGAGCTGAGGTTGGATTAAGGATTTGGAGAGAGGGGGTGAGTCAGAGCCGCACCGCGCCCCAGGAATCCTCCTTTGGGACGGCGCAGCCTCAGGCTGGGGAATTCCCTTTCCTCTCTTGCTCCTCTGCCCAGTGGTTGTCCCCCTGTCCCCATCCCTGTCCCTCTCTATCAGTCTCCACTTCCACCTCTTCATTGCTTTTTCTCTTCTTTCTCCATCTCTCCCCTGGTCTCCCCCCTCATTCCCCGTCCCCCTGGGGAAGTAGAGGCAGGAGCTGCAGCCCAGGGCACAGGGACAGAGGGGCGGGTTGGGGGCTGACACCTGGCGCCCTGGCCAGGCAGGGGGCGGCTCCGGAAACCCGGACAAACCCCGGAGTCCGACCCGCGCCAAGGCCCCGGCCGCCCGCCCTCCTTATCGCTTCCTGGCACCTTCCCCTGCTTCCTCTCTGGGAAAACCATCAGCGTCCTCCCGCCTGCCTTCTCTCTGGTCCCGCCCCCTTGTCCCTATTGGCCTGCGGTCGTAGGGCCCGCCCACCATTCTGGCCACACCCCTTCTCAGAGCGTAGGCCACGCCCTCTCCCTCGTCCTACTGGTTCGTCCTGCAGGTTCACGCCTGGCTCCCCGCTGCGCAGAGAACGCGGGAGAGCGGGATTCAGGGTCCGTTGTGACTCAAGTGTAACCGTGTCGGCCGCCCTGTGTCACCCCCCCCCACAAATGACTCTGGCACACTTGATCTCGGCCCCTAACAGTGGCCCACACTGTTCCCCTCCCTTCGTGCTCTCCTGTAACCTGCCTACCACCCCGTGCCTCAGTTTCCCCCTCTGTACGAGGCAGAATGAGTCTTACTCTGGCTTTGCTCTGTGGTGGTGGCTATTAGAAAGGGCCATTCCAGGATGCTGTGACATTTGTAGCCAAGATCTCAAGATGCTCCAAACCAGCCAGTGGCTCACGCCTGTAATCCCAGCCACTTGGGAGGCTGAGATTGAGAGAATGGAGGTTTGAAGCCAGCCCAGGCAAATAGTTTCAAGATCCTATCTCGAAAAAACCCATCACAAAAAAGGGCTCAAGTGGTAAGAGGACCTGCCTAGCAAGTGTAAGGGCCCAAGTAGCCCAAAAATAAAGAATGAGGAAAGGGAGGCTGGTGAGGGACTACTTTAGGAAGGTCAGGAGGAAGGGGAGAGTTGAGCTGCATGGACATCTGGTGGAAGAACATTCCAGGCAGAGAACAGCAAGTGCAAAGGCCCTGGGGTAGCAACCTGTTTGTTTGACAGGATGGGGGTGTGGCCGGAAGACACGGTGATGGTGGGTGGGAGGAAATTATTCACCCAGAGGCCACGAAAAAATTTAACATTCTAAACCTGTAATTCTTTCTTAGGTGATTCGCAGTGCTGAGGACAGAATACAGGGCCTTGCACATGTTCAGCGAGTGCTTTACCACTGAGCCACACCACCCAGCCCTATTCTACTTTTACATAATCACTTTTAATTACTGAACTTCCTGTAAAAAGCAGACACCCCAGTACTCATTATTCTGTCCTCATTTATTTTTCAGTAACTTATGAGATTGTAGCTCAAAGGTTCCCAGGGTTGCTGGTTTATCTCACAACTATTTCCTGAGTGCCTCTGTGCAGGGAGACAGAGGAAGCAGACAAGGCCCGAGCCCTCCTGGGCCTCATATTTTGATGGCAGAGACAATAAGTAAAATGGCAGATAAATAAAATAATGATGAATTAGGTTGTATTGGGAGGAAAGCAATAAAAATAGAAGTCATTTGGTTAGTGGTAGTTGGAGTACTTGCTCCCCACTGGATAACCTCTGTGTGTAGCCAGCTGTGGGGAGACCAGGGCAGAGAGGGCAGAGCTCCAGGCAGAGCGAGGGGCATGTGCAAAGGTCCTGGGGTGGGAGAAAGGTTGGCATGCTGGTGGGCCACGGAAGGTGGGTCAGGAATGTGAGCACTGAGTGGCAGGGGAAGGGGGACAGCATGCAGCATGAAGCTACAGGAGGCAACTCCTGTAGGATGTAGGATGGCAGTGCTTTGAACTTTTGGTCACCAGACCTCTTTCCCTTCTTAAAAATCACTGAGAATTTGGCCAGGCAAGATGGCTCAAGCCTATAATCCTAGCTACCAGGGAGGCAGAGATTGGGAGAATCATGGTTCGAGCCCAGCTGGAAAAGAAGTTCAAGAGACCCCCACCTCAACTAATAGCTGAGCATGGCAGGGCTTGCCACCATCCCAGCCACAAGGGAGGCATAGATAGGAGGATGGCAGCCCAGGCTGGTTTTGGCCCTGGGCATAAAGTAAGGCCCTATCTCAAAAATAACCACCCCAGTGGCTCACGCCTGTAATCCTAGCTACTCAGGAGGCAGAGATCAGGAGGATCAGGATTTGAAGCCAGCCATGAAATGCTCTATTGAGAAAACCCATCACAGAAAAAGGGCTGGCAGAGTGGCTCAAGTGGTAGAGCGCCTGCCTAGCAAGCGAGAGGCCCTGAGTTCAAACCCCAGTGGCACCAAAAAAAACAAAAAACAAAAATTGAGAGTTCCAAAGAACTTGTAGTGCACAGGGACTAAATCTGTCTGCATTCACCATGTTAGAGTTGAAACTGAGAAAACATTTATAAGTTGCTGGGCATGGATTTTCACCCCTGTAATCCCAGCACTCAAGTGCCTGAGGCAGGAGGATCCCATGTTTGAGGCCGGCCCGGGCTCCACACAGCCATACCCTGTCCCCAAAATACCCACCACCACCACCAATCATAATGACATTCAGGACTGGGGTGAGGCTTGGTGGCAGAGTAGGTTCCATTCCGGCACAGCAGACTCCTGGCCTCGGTGGCCGGGGCAGGGCTGGGGCTGTGTTTCCGTGCTGGACATAGCCGAGAGGGATGCAGCTCCAGGCAGGGTGGCAGGAGGTGGAGACAGCTGTGGATGTGGACAGGTGGTCAGCGGCTGGGGCTGAAGTGTGTTAGGAACACAGGTTCCCAGGCCTGGCCAGGCCTGAGTCACCCACCGCTCCTCCCGCAGGTGCACGCGTACATCATCAGCTACCTGAAGAAAGAGATGCCCTCCGTGTTCGGGAAGGAGAACAAGAAAAAGCAGCTGATCCTCAAGCTACCCGTCATCTTTGCCAAGATCCAGCTGGAGCACCACATCTCCCCCGGCGACTTCCCTGACTGCCAGAAGATGCAGGTGGGAGGCCTCCCGAGGGTGGAGGCAGGGTGGTGTCAAAGACATCCTCTGTAAGCTTTTGGGTGGGACTGGAAAGGACGTCCTGGGTGTGGGTTTATGCATTAGGTTAGTAGTGCCGGGTAAACCCACGATAAAAACTGAAGATAGAGGTTTCTAAAGCTGAGTGTGGTCATACATGCCTGTAATCCCAGCATTCAGGAGGCAGAGGAGGGAGGATTGAGAATTTAAAACCAACCTGGGCTGCATAAATCCCAGAACATAGAACCAAGGACCTAATTTCTCCTCCATGTCTGGCTTCCAGTTCCAATATCCTCATGGTAGCAAATGGCTGCAGAAACTCCAGTCGTTGATCTACATTCCAGCCAGCAAAAAGGGAGGAAGGGGAACAGAAGGGTACAGTCTCTCTATTTAAGGACACTTTCTGAACAGCATTGTTCTTTGGACAATGATGGAAATGTTCTAGTCTGTGCCTCCCAACATGGTAGCCCCTCAACTCATTAACGATGAATTATAGCTGGGTGTGGTGACTCACTCCTATGACCCTAGCTACTTGGGAGGTGGAGATGAGAAGGATTGCAGTTTGAGGGCAGGCTGGGTAGAAAGTTACAGAGATCCCATCTCAACCAATAACAGCTGGGTGTGGTGGCGTGCACCTGTCATCCCAGCTACACAGAAGCATGAATAAGAGGATCTCTGTAGAGGCTGGCCTGGGCACAAAGCAAGGCCCTATCTCAAAAATAACCCAAAGGAAAAAGGGCCAGAGACGTAGCTCAAGTGGTAGAGCACCTGCCTAGCAAGTACAAGGCCCTGAGTTCAAACCCCAGTGCCACAAAACAAACCCTGAATTATAGTCCAGCATGGTGGCAAATGCCTGTAATCCCAACACTTGGAAGGCAGTTCAAGGCTAGCCTAGGCTACATATTTCGACACTGTCTTGAAAAACCAAGCCAAAACTGTATTATAAATTTTAGGGTTTTTTCTTTGGTGGTACTGGAGTTTGAACTCAGGGCCTCACGCTTGCTAGGCAGGCGCTGTACCACTAGAGCCACTCTGTCAGCCTCAGTTTTACCTACTTTAAATAACTATATGTGGCTGGCAGCTACCATATTGACCAGGGTGATTCTACAAGTAGTATAGGTAACTTGTGCTTACAGCCAATTGGCTGGAACTTAGTCACATGGCCAGTTGGCTGCAAGGGTTTCTGGGAAGTGTAGTCTTTCCTGTAGGTGGCCAGGTACCCAGGTAATGTTCAGAATTCCCAGCATAAAGGACACACAAAGGATGCTGGGGGTGCCAAGGAAGCTCCTCACATGTGGAGGCCTGGGATTGCTAGTGTTGGGGAAAGTGATGGATGGGATTTGGTGGTGTGGGGGAAACGCAGAGTCCTGGAGGTGGGCAGGGCAGAGCTGATGTGTTCAGAAGGGCAGGGACCCAGCCCCAGCCCCAGCTTTTGCTCTGGACTGAGCAAGGCTTACATCAAGCCTGTGCCTTCTTTTTATTATTTTATTTTTGGTAGTATTGAGGTTTGAACTCAAGGCCTGGCACTTACTAGGCAGGCATTCTATTGCTGTCATGCCCCCAGCCCTTTTTGCTTTAGGTATTTTTCAGATAGGTTGTCGTGTTTTTCCCCTGGTCTTGGAACTCAATTCTCCTGCCAACCCGTCCCTCATAGCTGGGAAGACAGGCATGCACCACCAAGCCTGGCTTATTGTTTGAAATGGGGTCTCTCAAACTATTTGCCCCAGCTGGCCTGGAACCTTGATCCTCCCAATCTCTGCCTTCTTAGAAGCTGAGATTACAAATGTCACCACATCACCTGAGATGGTTCCAGCCCAGAGTCTGAGGGATTGTGGCAGAGTGCATTTTGCCATGGTCACCGGTAGCTCTGTGAGACAAGTCCTGCCTTGTCTAAATCTGAGTTTCTGCAACTGGGAAACGGGGGGATGCTAGCATCCCATCCACATGCTGCTCAGCTGCTGACTGCTGTGAAAACACTTTAGAACGGTTCCTGGTACAAAACTGAGGAGTTTCTCAGCCTCCGCCTTACTGCCATTTGTTGTGGATGATTCTTGTTTGTAGGGAGCTGTCCTGTGCATTGCAAGATGTTCAATGGTGTCCTTGGCCCATGACAAGTCATGGCACCAGTCATGATCATGACAGATGTCCCTAGAAAAGGCCAGTGTGTTGGTGTCATTGGCTCACGCCTGTAATCCTAGCCACTTGGGAGTCTGAGATCAGGAGGATCAAGACTCAGTCATCCGGGCAAATAGTTCTTGAGACCCCATTTCCAAAATAACCAGAGCAAAAAGGACTGGAGGTGTGGCTCAAGTGGTAGAATGTCTGCTTTGCAAGTGTGAAGCCCTGAGTTCAAACCCGTTTCGCCAAAAAAAAAAAAAAAAGCCACCTGTCCCCTGGGGGGCTATGTAAGTTGTGATGTTAATGTCACAGTGACGTTTACAGAGTATTTTATCCAGATAAATCTATTTGGCCTTCCCTGTGCTAATGTGATCATCTCTGTGCGGCTCAGAGAGGTGAAGCCACTTGCCCAAGGTCACACAGTGCCTAAGTAGCAAACGTTTCTGCATTTCTGCTCAGCCACAATCCTGAGCTTCCCAACTGTCCCAGTGCTGCTCTGCAGCCCGTGGGTCTGGAGATGGTTCCCCCTGACTTCTCCATATCCCCATATGTCATGTGACAGGAGCTCCTGATGGCGCACGACTTCACCAAGTTCCACTCATTGAAGCCGAAGCTCCTGGAGGCGCTGGACGAGATGCTGACGCACGACATCGCCAAGCTGATGCCGCTGCTGCGACAGGAGGAGCTGGAGAGCGTGGAGGTGGGCGTGCAGGGTGGCGCGTTTGAGGGCACCCACATGGGCCCCTTTGTGGAGCGGGGCCCCGACGAGGCGCTGGAGGACGGTGAGGAAGGCTCGGGCGATGAGGCCGAGTGGGTGGTGACCAAGGACAAGTCCAAGTACGACGAGATCTTCTATAACTTGGCGCCTGCCGATGGCAAGCTGAGCGGCTCCAAGGCCAAGACCTGGATGGTGGGCACCAAGCTCCCCAACTCCGTGCTGGGGCGCATCTGGAAGCTGAGCGATGTGGACCGTGATGGCATGCTGGACGACGAGGAGTTCGCGCTGGCCAGCCACCTCATCGAGGCCAAGCTTGAGGGCCACGGGCTGCCCGCCAACCTGCCCCGTCGCCTCGTGCCACCTTCCAAGCGGCGCCACAAGGGCTCGGCCGAGTGAGTTGGCTGCTGCCTGCTGGCCTGCCCGCCTGCCCTTCCACCTGCCCTGCTGTGGCTCCCCAGTTCCAGTCTGCTGCATGCGAATCCCTGCCCTGGCCCACACTTGCCCTGCCTGCCCACCCAGCCCAGCTGTGAAGACTGAGGGGAGGCTCTCTCCACCCCCCCACTGCCAGGCACCCTAGTCAGAGCATTTAGTGGGGACCGGGGGAGGGGCAAGAGTTCTCTGTCCACCCTTACACCTCCACTGCCACACACACTTGTGCACATGGCACTCACACAGAGGCATCCAGCATTCAAATATTTATTGAGCACTTAATACATGGCCCAGTTCTGGTAGAACTGACATTTTCAGGACAGGGCACCCACACAGTGACACAAACACAGATACCAGGCTCTGTCCTTCCCCACAAGTGAGTGGCCCACTGGATTAAAATGACAGGGCTGGCAGAGGCTCAAGAGGTTAAGAGTGCCTGCCTAGCAAGCATGAGGCCCTGAGTTCAAATCCAAGTACCGCCAAAAAAGGAAAAAAAGGACAGCCTTCTCCACCCTTTGCCCCTCTTCCTACTGCCCAGGCACGGGAGAATCCCCAGGCCCCTAGTGCACTCCAGGATGTCAGGACCACTGGGGTTCAGAGGGGACACACGACCTCCTACTTCCTTAGATGGACCCCTCTTCAGCCCCCTTCTTTTCCTCCTCTCCCCTGGAAATTCTGATCACTGCCCCTCACCCCCTTTTAACTGCAATGCAGGGGATGGGACGCAGGTCTTGCAAGTGCTCTCTGCCACCCAGCTCGGCCCCAGGCCTCCTCACGCCCACTTTAACAAGGATCCTACCAAAGTAGGGAGGCCCCATCTGCCCTGGCTGCCCCACACTGTACCCACCTGGATTAGGTCTTTCCTCTGCCCACCTGCTTGTGATGGAAACACTCACCGCCCCCTCACCTCCCCACTGCAGGCTTCCCTCTCTTCCCAAGTTTTAGGACTGTCAGGCCATACTTAAATGGAGCCCTCTTACCAGATATCACGGGCCCCTGGCTTTACTTTTCAGGGATGTCGTGGGGTGGGGAAGGGCTGGTTCTTGGTGCTACAGCCCCCCCTCCCATTCTAATGGGACCCCCACGTCTTTTCGTGCCTTCACTACAAATTAGTGCTTGACCTGGTGGGGGACCCTATGGGAAAAAAATGGGGAAAAGAGTAAAACAGCTGGAGAAATGCCTCCTCCAGACTGCCCGCTGGGATTCCACCCTGCTCCCCATGCCTGGGACCTGAATGGTGTCATTCACACAGCGAATAAAGCTAAGGCTTCTTCCTATGTCGCGGTCAGGCTGTCTTGGGGCGGGGACACCCAGAGAAGGAGCGCCCTGGGCAGGATTTGGGGTGTGGGGACCCTCGGGGCTCGCAGGGTTGGGCACACAGCTCATGACTCAACGCGGCGGAGCCGGTGACTCAGGCCCGGGCTGGGGGCCAGAGCGGCATATTTTCCGAAGAAAAGTTACTCGGGGCCAAACCCCCCGCTCCCGCCCGCCTCCCGCGCGGGGCCTGGGAACCCAGCCTGGCCGGGTCCGGGCCCCGCCCGCTCGCGCATTACAGTGCTCAGCTCCCCGCGGGGGCGGGGGTGGCTACGCGCAAGGATCGCTGTACCCGGGCGACACGCACCCGCCGCGCACCGGGACGCGCTGCCCTGCGCCTCCCGCCCACGTGCGCCCGGCTCCTCGGCGCCCTCTGGCGGCGTGTCGGAGCCACGCAGGCTGCTGGTGGAAACCCCCATCCAAAGGGCGCGGGGCTGCAATCCAGGACCTGTCACTCCGTGCAGGGTTCCAGCTGGGCTCCACTGTGGGACTCCCGCGGGGCGCCTTCCCTCGCGGTGCCTTTTTCCGTTACGAGTCAAGAATAGCTTTTATGAGGCCAGTGGATCTCTTTGGATGATTGCCAAGGCCCGGGTACTCTTGAGTTTTCCTTCCTTATTTGTAAATAGCAAAGATTAGTTGATTCTAAAATGAAGTCTCTGAGGGGCGAGGTCCTCAGATGCCAGGCGCAGTTCAAAGTGCTTTAGAATAATCTACCATTATTCCCATTTTACAGATGAGGAAACTGAGGCACACGAAGTAACTAGAAGATGAATGACTCTGGGGGAAGGCATGGTCAACCCACGACTGTAATTCCAGATACTCTGGAGACAGAAATAGGAGGATCTGGGTTCAAGGGCAGCCCAGGCAAAAGCGGACATCACACTGAAAAACAAACTAAAAGGGAAAGGACTTTGGGCGTGGCTCAAGTGGTACAGTGGAGTTCAAACCCCTGTACCGCCAACAAAAAGGGAGGAAGGGGATAAATGATCCTGAATCTGCACCTCGAGGGATCTTAATAGTGTATGCTCCCAACCTCGAAATTCCTAAAGTTACTTGATTTAAAACAGTCTAGGATTGAAACTAGAATCCTAGGCCAAACGTTGAGATTGGAGTGCATCTTGTTCCGAACCTACTGACTGTTAAGATTTTTCGATTTTAAGAAAACGAAATTTAAGGGCTAGGGGCGTGGCTTAAATGGTAGAGCACAGGTGCAGAGTGCAAACCCCAGGAACAGCAAAAAAAAAATTAAAAAAAAAAAAGAAAACGAAATTTAAAATTAATCAGCTTGATCAAAGATCCCGGACGGCCTGGAAAGCTGTTTTGCTTAGAGTGAGCACCAACAACCTATAACCCACATTCTCTGCCATTAGGAATCTGCGGATCCCCTTGCAAAAGCTGGAAGGAGGAGCCATTTATCCTTTACCAAGATGGCAATCTCTCGTGCCACCATAACTTTACCAAGATGGCCGCCACAGGAAATACGTCACGGGAGAGGGTGGGCGAGCTGCGCGCGCACATTTTGAACGGGCTTTCGGAGTGTAGACGGTTGAGCGCTTCCTTTAACAAGATGACGGCGAGAAGTGAAGGTGGTGGTGCCAGGCAGCGCTCGAAAAGCGATGCCGATTCTGGCTTCTTGGGGCTACGGCCCACTTCTGTGGACCCAGGACTGAGGCGGCGGCGGCGAGGTCCAAGAAATAGGAAGCGGGGCTGGAGGCGGCTCGCGCAGGAGCCGCTGGGGCTGGAGGTTGATCAGTTCCTGGAAGACGTGAGGCTGCAGGAGCGCACGACTGGGTGCGTGGGGCGGGACTTCCGGGAGCTGTGCGGGCTCCGGGGAACTTGGGCGGCGAGGAGTGCGGGAATTCGAGGGGATTGACGAGGGTGTCAGGGTGGGCGACTTGATGGAGTCGCTATGTTTTGCGAATAAGTGTACAGGACCTCCAGCAGAGTTTGAGTTTCAAGTGCGTTCCATGCATCTTCCTTGTGTTGGTGCTACTTAAGTACTAATTTATGTAAAATAAGGGGCGAGGCCTTAGCTTGGCAGCTCCCATGGCGGTAAGAGGGTGTTTGAAGAAAGAGGAAGGCTGGACCCTGTTGTCCTCCCAACGTCATTGGTTTATGGTCTACATCTTCATCTCCCAGTTGCTTGGTGTCAGAAGCCCCCAATGAAAAACTCTTCTTCGTGGACACCGGCTCCAAGGAAAAAGGTACAGATGGCTCTTGTGGTACAGGGCTGTGCTTGGTTGGAACCAGCCCCTCGCATCCTCTTGGGATTACAGATGTGCAACTCCACAGGAAGATCTGTGTTGCAGGGTTTGGTGGTGCACATCTGTAATCCCAGCTAACCAGGAGGTGGAGGCAGGAGGATCTGGAGTTTGAAGCCAGCCTGGCAAAGTTGGGGGTGGGGAGAGGAGGTGAAAAGGTGGAACCCTGATTCAGGGTTGTATCCGCAGTATTTTGAAAGATGAAAGACGTGTTAATTGACACGATTTAGAAGGCAAACGCTTTCATAAAAGGATCAGGTATAGTATAACATCCTTGGATGGGAAGAGTGCAAGCTAGAAGACTGTTGCTGTTTTTGTCTTGTCTTATCCCCACTCCATCAGTGACTTCAGTGCACAGAAAAGCCAGGTAGGAGTATGCGTGAATAGGTTAGGGCGTCTCCCGTTAGCTTCGAAAAACCTGCTGTGAGGAATCAGAGTTTGCCAGGTGCCAGTGGCTCATGCCTGTAATCCTAAACCACTTGGAGGCTGAGATCAGGAGAATTGCAGTTCGAGACCAGCCCAGGCAAAGAGTTTTTGAGACCCCATTTCAAAAACTGAATAACCAGAGTAAAATGGACTGGAGGTATGGGTCACGTGGTCAAGTGCCTGCTTTGCAAGCATGAAGTTCAAATCCTACTCCTGCCCCCCCCAACCCCACAAAAAAAAAAAAAAAGGAATCAGCTGTTTTCATTAGAAAGATGAGCTTTCATACGAACAAGATCGCTTCTAACTTGCAGTAAGAAGCTAGCCTTAACAGTTCCTGTACCTTGTTAGCCTGCGTCCTGCTGGCCCAGCACAGGGGAGGGACAAGACTTGGGCACCTTGGGCCCTTCCCCTGGGGCTTCTCCCTTGGGTGAGAGAATGAGATTGGCCTTGAGGCCTCGAGCTGTGTGCTGGGATGACGAGCACAGGCTGATGGCAGTGGAGGTGAGATGGGGGGTGGTTTTTGGTGGTGGGGAGGCCCGAGGCCATGTCTCCTCCTCTCCCTCCAGAGCAGAGAAAGAAGAGGACCCGAGTGCGGAAGAAGTCACTGTGTCTCCAGAAACCGCTGCGGGCTGACCTCATTCTTGAGAACACATCCAAGGTCCCTGTTCCCAAAGAGTGAGTGTGCTCCACACGCGCCTTTTTACCTTCCCATCCCTTGCCTAAAGGGATGTTAGAGATATCTTTAAGATATCGGGGTGTCATGAGAGAGAGATAACACAACTCAGAAGTCAACAGGCAAGGCAAAATTTACTTAGGCAGAAGGGTGCACCAGAGACAAAGAGCAAGCTCGTCCAGTGGGTAGTCCCTTGGGGTTTTATCTCTAACGCAATGCTGCTCTTCCCCTGAATTGGGCAGGTTTTGGCTAATTAGAAAGAGGACATCATTGGGAAGGGGCTTTAAAGACAAAAGATGTTTCAAAGTTCAGGGAAACAATAACTGTTTTAGGTTATCAGCTCCGAAAGTAAAGCATCTTGTAGAATTTTGTCCAGCTGAGGATAACAACCCTTTGTTTTTGATAGAAACTCATCACGTTAAGCAGAGTCCATGAAGCGAGCATATGGGAAGGGGGTTAGTGAGACTAACATTTGTAATGGCAGTGATTATTGGTTAAATCCTTTGACAAAAAAGACCCAAGAAGTGATTCTCCCAAGAAGGTGGGGGGCACATGGGAGCTGATGGGGGCTTTGGAGAGTGGCTTGGAGGAACTGAGGGTGTGGGCCTGGGTGCAGCGGGGTCTATCTTGGAGAGGCAGGTATGCCTGGCAGCCAGGTGTAGGGGGCAGGTCAGGGGCCTGGTGTCACAGCACTGTGGGAGGGGGCAGTCTAGACAGCTGGCTGCCCCCGGGTGAACTGTGGGGTGTTAGTTCAGATGGTGTGGAGATAGATATTGGGTGCCAGGGATGTTCTGGACAAGGCTGGTTCTGTCTAGTTGAGTCTGGGCTGAGGAGAGGCCTGGGCTGTGAGACAGACTGCTGAATGGTGGGGAGAACTGGCTGCAGAGGACCCCACCACTACTCAGGCTGTGACCTCACCTGCTGCCCTTCTTCCTCCCTCCCCATTCTACCCAGCATCCTCGCCCACCAGGTCCCCAATGCCAAGAAGCTGAGGCGGAAGGAGCAGTTATGGGAGAAGCTGGCCAAGGAGGGCGAGCTGCCCCGGGAGGTTCGCAAGGCCCAGGCCCGTCTTCTCAACCCGCCTGTGGCCAAGTCCAAGCCTCGCCCCCAGGACACTGTTGAGCGGCCCTTCTATGACCTCTGGACCCCTGACAGTAAGCGATCCTATTGTCACCTGCAGACAGGGCAGGACTGCTATGTTGCGCACTGCCCAAGAGCACAGTGACAGGGTGCCCCGCAGGTGTTGCTTTGATGATCTTCCAGTTGGGAGTGGCGCCTTTCCTGTGTGGGCTCCCCCTTTCCCAGTTATGGGGGCTCCTGCCTCACCTGTGGCACTCTTCTGCTTTCTGAATCCTATCTAGACGTGGTTTGGTTTGGTATTCAAGGCCCTTGGGCTGAGCTTCAGAGCCATTTTTTTGGAATGAGGAAGGACTGGAAGGGAGTTCCTGGCCTTTTTCCATGCTAGAGCCCCCTGCAGTTGCCCTCACTCTCTCTGCAGACCCTCTGGACAAGCCATTGGCTGGTCAGGATGCATTTTTCCTGGAGCAGACCAAGAAGAAAGGCGTGAGGGTGAGATTGAGTGGGCAGGTGACAGGGTGTGTGAGGGTGGGGGGGAGGGCATGTGTTGGGACCTGCCACAGTCAGCTCTAGTCTCCATTTGGGAGCCTGTCATCCTGGCTACAGGAAATGCCAGTGCTGGAGCCAGGTGGCCTCCCATTCCTTCCTATGTAAGTGTGGATGGCAGCAGGGCTCAGTTCATAGGAGAGGGGAGTTTCAAGAGGTAACGTGCAATTGGCTGGAAACTGAGGCCAACGCATAAGTGCTTTGGGGTTTGACTTGTGGCCACCATCTTAAGCTGCTGGACCTCAAGGGTTAGATGGTGTAGACTCAGCACTGGCTTCATTCAGGGGAGGAGTTGCTGGGCAGCAGGGAGCTATTGGGGGAGAGTAGTGGTTTCACCTTCACAGATGAACTTTGTCATGTTGGGGCCACTGGGGTGGAAAGGAAAGTGATTGTAGTACAGCAGGTCAGGCTGCAGGGAGGCCAGGGCTCATTGGATAGCATCTAGGTCTGCTGGGGTCAAGAATGTGGAGGAAGGAGGAAGTCAGGCAGAGACGAAGGGAAGGGCTCAGATGAGGGGAACAGCATATGCAAAGGCTCGAGGTGGGACCAGGCAGGATGCAGGACCCTTGAGGGAAGACAGTGTGGTCAGGCTGGGGAGCAGGCCAGAGTGCAGGTTTGCTCTGTGGGGCAAGGGTGGGAAACACCTGAGGACTCCTTTACAGGAGAGTAGAGAGATCCAGCTGCCCCCTGAGTGGGGCTTGGTACACAGGTGTGCAGGGAGCCAGGCACATGGGGGTCCTGAGCCAGAGAGGGCTAGGGGGGACTCAGGAACGACAGAAGCACCAGCCAGGATCATGGGTCAGGTGTGGAGAGATCAGGGCCCCACATGGGACCCCGGTCTTCTGCTGGTGACCCACAGGACCTTTATAGGGGCAGGGGCCAGACAAAGCCAGCCGGGAAGTGGCGCAGGCACTCAGGTGGCCAGGGTCTTGTGAAGGTGTGGGTTTGATGGGCGGGTCCTGGGTGGACCTGGGGTTTTAGTTTCTCAGAAGCTCCCAGGGTTCTCAGGCCACATTAAGCAACAAGACTAGACGGGTTGTCAGCCAGCCAGGGAGGCTCATGGGCTCTGAGACTGCTGAGGGTGGAGTCAAGCTTCCCTCTCCCCTTGGGCTGGTCATCGCGTGGTCTCCCACCAGGAAAGGCTTCAGACTCACCTGGGGACAGGTGTCTGCTTTCAGAGGCGTTGGGTCCCATAGGCAGCTAGCAGCCTGTGGCCCTTGCTGTAGCCTCTGCCACCTCCTGAACCACAGGTCCTCCAAATCCCAGGTTGTGAGAACTCAGGTCTCAGCGCTCCGGGCTGTCTTAGTCCTTTCCTGCTGCTGTAACAAAATACCTGAGCCTGTGATTCAGGAAAACAGGAATGTATTGCTCATGGTGCTGGGGATGGGGGCACCGCAGTTGGGGCTCTGGTGAGGGCCTGGCTTCTGCTTCCAAAGAAGTTTGCTGTGTCCTCGCATGTGGAAGGCTGAGGGCAGAGGGTGACCCCCCTTTGACTCCGTCACCTTCTCTTCACATCAGCACCTTGGCAAGTGAGAGTCCCAGCCCCTCAGCACAGACCTCACTTTGCCTTCCCTTGTCTTCCCCCAGCGGCCACCTCGTCTTCTCACCAAGCCTTCGCGGGTACCTGCTGTGGAGGTGACACCTGCTGGAGCCTCCTACAATCCGACCTTTGAAGACCACCAGGTGGGTGCATGGCCTATGGGTGGAGCCATGGCCACCGCCCCTCTTAGAGCATTGTCAGCCGCTTCACCAGGCCCCTCCTCCCTGAGGCCCAGGCCCTTGTCGGTTCTCTGAACTGTCTGTCCCCCACGGGTCCCATCACTGATGGGCAGAGGGCATACGCCCTCATCAGAAGCCCAGTGCAGTGGGGAGGGCGGCCCACTGAGCTGAGGCCAGGGAGAAGCCCCTGGAAGTCCTGTCCCCCCACAACCCCGTCACACTCCCTGTCCCTCTGCCCGTCTCTCCCCCATCCCTCTCTCCAGGCCCTGCTCTTGGCAGCACATGAGGTGGAACTGCAGCGACAGAAGGAGGCGGAGAAGCTGGAGCGGCAGCTGGCCCTGCCCTCAGCGGAGCAGGCCGCCACCCAGGTGGGATCCTCCCTTGTCCACAGGGCCCTGCCTAACCTGCTGCCTCTGTCCTTCCCCAGCCTGCTGACCTGCTCTTCTTCCCCAGGAGACCATGTTCCAGGAGCTATGTGAAGGGCTGCTGCAGGAGTCTGACGGGGAGGACGAGAGGCCCAAGGCCCACGCAGCTGAGGCTGGAGATGGAACCACCGAGGGCTCACCAGCGTCCACCTGGCTGGCCAGTGTGGAGAAGAAGACAGAGCAGCAGCGGCGGCGGGAGAAGGCTGCCCGCAAGCAGGTGAGCAAGCTCCTGGGCTCTGCTGCCTCCTTGGATTCCCCGCTCCTTTTCTCCCTGTCAGCCACTGGCTTGCTAGTAGTGCTGCGCTGTGCCCTACCACACACTGTGCTGGGCATGCAGCAGGAGTCAGGCAAGACACCTACTTCTCTGGCCAACGTTGGAGGGATGGAATGGGGGATTTGGGGGCTGCAGGCAGACATGGGTAACGAGAGCAGTTGTGATGTGACCTGCATTAGCTGTCAGGAAGGGCCCCTGGGAGCGGGTGGGCTTGGGGACCCCAGGGCCCCTGAGTAGGGAGAGGCCCCATGGACTGGGTGGCGTTTGAGCTGAGCCCTGGTCCCTCCTGTCCCCAGCGAGTGCAGCAGGCCGCACTGCGGGCTGCCCGGCTACAGCACCAGGAGCTGTTCAGGCTGCGAGGGATCAAGGCCCAAGTGGCCCAGCGACTGGCAGAGCTGGCTCGGAGGAGGGAGCAGCGCAGGATCCAGCGGCTGGCAGAGGCTGACAAGCCTCGCAGGCTGGGGCGGCTCAAGTGAGGCCTGAGCCGGGGCTCTGGGAGGATGGGAAAGGGACCAGTCCCACATCTGTCACCTTACTTTGCCCCAGAGCCCTTGGGAGACTGACTGTCTGTGCCCTGAAGCCCTGACCTCTTTGAGGCCTGCCCCTCCCCAGGAGGGAGCTTTGCACTTATGTTCTGGGCCTGCTAGACTTTGACTACTTGGCACCCCAATCCTGTGTTCCCCAGGTATCAGGACCCTGACATCGACGTGCAGCTCAGCTCGGAGCTGTCTGACTCGCTAAGGACCCTGAAGGTACTTGCCCATTGGGGGGTATGGTGTGGGGACCTCGTGCCCGGTGATGATACCCATCCTTGCTCCCCGTGCCTAGGGGCTATGGGCGACACCATGGCTGCCCTCGGGTTGGGCCGGTTGGGCTCTTGCCTGGGGGCTGAGGGCACGGGGTCCATGGTGGGGAGGGCACAGGGTGATGTGAGGGTCCCTCTGACAACCTGTTTTCCCAGTCTGACCCCAGTCTCCCAGCCCTACCTCATCTATCAGTTCTGCTGGGGTTTTCTGTCCCTTTCCTGTGAGGCTTGGCCTGTAGGCTCCAGCAGCTGTTCCTGGGCAGTGGCGTGCACCGTGCACCTTCTTCCTCTGGCTGGGCCTGAGCCCCACAAGCTTGGGCAGGCCAAGCACTTGGCATTCGGAAGGCAGCTCTGTGGAGATGGTTGCTGAGCCCTGTCTGAGCCCTTCGGTGGCACAGGGCCCTTGGCTTCTGCCAGGCCCTGGTGAGCTTCTGTGTGTCCCACAGCCCGAAGGTAACATCCTCCGTGACCGGTTCAAGAGCTTCCAGAAGAGAAACATGATTGAGCCCCGAGAGCGAGCCAAGTGAGCCTGGGCTGCTGAGAGCGGGGCAGAGCCCCTGGGTCTGCGAGGTTGCCAGTTACTCATCACTCTTTTCCTGCCTTCTCCAGGTTCAAACGCAAGTACAAAGTGAAGCTCGTGGAGAAACGGGCCTTCCGAGAGATCCAGTGAGTGTCACCGCCACCAGTCTCCTGGTAGTGACAAAAACTAACCCCAAAGGAGCTCTTCCATAGTAATCGAGTCCTAGGGCTCTTCCCAAACCAGCCCCTGTGCCCAGCCCAGAGAAGGTCACCCAGCAGAAGCCCTGAACCTGGGGTCCCCAAAGGAAAACTAAGGCCTCCAAACCAAGAGAGGGCTCAAGTGGGCCAGGACATGGGAGCTTGCCTCTTTATCCTCCTCAGCCCTCCCTCTGTCCTCCCTCTGTCCCCACTCTGTCCCTAGGTTGTAGCACCTGGATGTTGGAGCCTTGCCTCTCGCCACCAGTGGATGCTGGAGCCCCGCCCTCAGTAAAGTGCCTCTGACCAGTGCCTGGGCTCAGTGTGGCTTTTTCCTTTCATAGGCAGCTCTTAAATGAGTTTCTACCCCCCCCCCTCACACACACAGACCTCCACAGGGGGTCCTCATCTGGGCTTTCAACCTGGAACACATTCACCACTCCCTGCTTTGAGTGACTTGAGGGGCAGATTTTGTCTCCACGTCTCATCCTGTTGGTAGTTGGTAGTTGGTGGGGTGGGTGGATGCAGAGCTCTTGCTCTTAGCAGGTGGGTTCATGCAGTAAGGCTCTCCAGCCTAGTTTTAGAAAAATTTTTTGAACCACTGTCCTGCAAGATGGCAAATTCATATATACAAGACCCACAGGGTGACATTCTCATTCTAAGCCACTCTCAAGGCGTGCAGTTCTCACCCTTGGCCTCCACTATTTTGCTGTTCTGCCCAGGAAGCTGGGGTAGTCCTGGTCTTCTGCTTAGGTGGGATGGAGTGGCTGTGGTTGCAGGGCCCTCTGTCTGGCCAGGTGGTGCCTGCCTTTCCACTGTGTCTACCTGTACCTGTGTGACTGGCTCTACAGTAATGGGCAAGCGTATGTGTCAAGTTCATGGATGGATTCCGTTAAGTTACCCTCTGTGTATGCTGTGCCAGTTTTACTCCCAAGCAGGGTACAGAGGCCCACCTGTTTCTTGGAGCTCTGTTGCTGTATGACCTGTTTTTTGGGTTTTTTTTTTGAGAAACGGGTTTGAATTCAGGGGCTTAGAGCTTGCAAAGCAGGTGCTGTGCCTCTTGAGCCACAATTCCAGTCCATTTTGCTCTGGTTATCTTGAAGATAGTGTTGCGGGAGTTTGCTAGCTGAGATACGAGTCTCTGAGGCAGATTAGCAGGAAGCAACGCATTATTGTGCCGACACAGACCCAGCGGACTGGTGGCCAAAGGCTGAGTCCTGAGAACAAAGGGGTCTCACCTTACACACCCTTGCAAGCAGGTTATAGAATCAAAAAGCAAAGCTCAACCCATCCATATATGGCTGCATGTGACTTCATTGGCTATTTCATTTCCCCAGTGCTATGTGACCTTCATTTTTCAATTCTTTAGGTTTTATCCTCTGCTTTGCCATCCCTTCCCCCTGCCTCATTATCAGAACACAGCCTTTCTTTTGTGGTCATGCTCCCTGCTACAGTAGGGTCTTAGGAACTATTCTCCCAGACTGGCCTCAAACCTCGATCCTCCTGGTCTCAGGCTCCTAAGTAGCTAGGGCTACAGGTGTGAGCCATGGCTTCCCTGTGTAACCCAGGCTGTCCTGGAACTCATGCTCCTTCTGCCTCACCCTCCTGAGTACCACACTTGGCCGGCTTTTTACTTTGTGTGTGACATCTTTGTCAAATGGAAGTGTTGAGTGTTTTTATATTTCTCTTAGGCTTTCTCTGTTATTCTTGTGGCCTTTGGAAAGGTTTCTGCATGATAAGATGTTTATAAAAATAGAGCAAAACATGAAGGGAGAAAGTGTGGAACGTCATGGCTTCAAGAAACTATTTCTGCTGTTCCTCCTCCTCCTTCCATCTTAAAAAAGAAACTTTCCACAGATAAGAGCCCAGCTCTTCATGTATCTGTGTGTGGGGTGGGATGGGGTGGGGACAGGTGGCAGGGGCAGTAGGGACAGGTAAAGAGCAAGGGGGTTTGGCTTAGTGGTAGAGCACTAGCCCAGCATGGAGAAGGCCCTGGGTTCCAGCACTGAAAAATAAATGAAGGCAAAGTCTCCCAAGTGTCTTACTGTTCTCTTTGGCGGCACTGGGGTTTGAACTCAGGTCTTGCCGGGCAGGTGCTCTACCACTTGTGCCATGACCCTGCTCTTCAACAGTCTTTAAGCCTGGAACCCCTAGCCACTGATACTCAGTGCGTTTGAAAGAATGTTCTGGGAAAGGTGAGGAAAGAGTAGTAAAAGCCACCAGGACATCAGTCAGGTGGGATGATCACAGGCCCTCACGGGCAAGTCCTGCCGCCTAGACATTCAAATGTCCTTGGGAAGTTCTGCCCAGGGAAGTGTGTGTGTTCCGTGTGTGCAAAAGCGAGTCCAGTGGCAAATTGGTGTGCTACAGCATGCACGGGAATGCATTGTACACCAAAGGAACAACGAAGGACCAGGACCCTCATTAACTGACGTCTGTAGGCTGCAGTGCCTGTGCCATCAGCTTCCCCTGACACAGGAAGCCTCGGGGCATGGTGGGGTGACCCAGCAGATGAAAATAAAGCCAGTAGCAGTGATCCTGGTGGAACCCAGGTGGTGGGGCAGGGGGTCTCCACAGGAACACTCAACTTCAATGTTGGAAAACTTGTCCTAAAGATTGTTGGGGAAAAGTCACATTGGACTATGGTATGTGACTGACAGAGGTAGTCTCAGGGCTGTTGGTTTGCACAGGTCCCTTCCAAGACCCTGCACCTCCTTCAGGATCTCTAAAGGCATAGTTTTTCCTACAAAGGATTAATTTGGGGTCTCCCGGGTTGTAAAATGAGACACTGCTAACCTGGAGCCACCTTTGTGATATGAGAAAGTTTGCTGGGTGTGGTGAAGTACAGCTGTAATCTCGGCACTTGGAGGCTCTGCAGGAGGATCAGGAGTTTAAGAGCAGCCTGGGCTAGGTAGCAAGACCTGATTCAGATATACAACAAAAAGCCAATTTGGTAATGAGTAAATAAATGGTGGAATGAATGCCCCACCCCATATGTGATGCTAGTGCGGTGGCTCAAGTGGTAGAGCGCCTGCTGAGCAAGTGTGAGGCCCTGAGTTCAAATCCTAGTGCCCCCAGACACCAAAACCTGTATCGTGGGTGGCGTGGTGTTAGGATGGGCACCCCCTAGGCAGCAGCAGCAGCAGCACAGGACCATGAAAACCTTGCACTTGGGGCCCCGCGCTGTATAACCTCGTGGAGGTCACCTGGCCTCTGTGCCTCCCTGCCTCTGTGTGCAAACGGATGCAATGTTACTTCCTTTCTCAGTGCGTTATGACAAAGGTAGAGTGAGCGCACAGTGAAAGCGGTTAAGCCCTGCTCACTTAATCTTTGTTATGGAACAAAGATGTGGAAATTCGCGCTGTGTGCCAAAGACTCCAACGCTCTGACCTTTCGACACACTGATTGCACTCTTGGGGACGTGCTCTAAGGAAGCGACCTGGAATTCGGGAAAAGCGTAACGCGCCGCGTAAAGGCGGGGCCGGGGTCCCCGTAGAATGGAAGGAAACGCGCGCGAGGGCGCACGGGGAGGCGCTGCGGCCGTTCACCGACGGAGAGGCCGGAAGCCGTGGACCCGCTGTTTGTGCTCGGTGGCTGGATGAGAAAAGCAACAGACTTCGCAGCTGTCCGCGCTGGCGTTCCTTCAGCAAATCCCAGGCCAAGGCTCGTGGGCGAGGGATTCCAGAGGTTTCCAGAGGTTCTTTGGCAGTGTTTTCCAGCCTTTCCAAAGTTTCTATCATGTAGCAATATTTTTCTTTTGTGCTGTGCTGGGGATGGAACTCAGGGCCTCGTGCACGCTAGGCAAGCGTTTCAGGATCTCAAGCCTAAGATGGCCGTGGATTTGAAGTCCAGCCTCCCGAGCGCTGGGATTGTGGGCGTGAGCTGGGTTTGGTGCAAACTTTTTTTTTTTTTTTAATGGTGGGACTGGATATTTTGGCGATGGGATTTCTTCTTCTTTCTTCTTCTTCCTCCTCCTCCTCCTCCTCCTCCTCCTCCTCCTCCTCCTCCTCCTCCTCCTCCTCCTTCTTTCTTTCAGTACTGGGGTTTGAACTCAGGGCCTACACTTCGAGCCACTCCAGGGGCTCATTAACTATTTGCCTGGCCTGGCTTCGAACTGCGATCTCCCTGATCTCTGCCTCCTGAGTAGCTAGGGTTATAGGCGTGAGCCACCTGCACCTGGCCAGAGATGGGAATCTTGAGAACTGTTTGCCCAGCCTGGCTCGAAACATGATCCTCCCAGTTCCAGCCTGCCAGGTAGCTAGGATTACAGGCACTTGAGCCACCAGAAAATTTTTTTTTTGGCGGTATTGGAACTCAGGTCTCTATGATTGCTGGTCAGGCTCTCTTGCACTTGAGCCACGCCTCCAGTCTTCTCTTTTTTATTTTCTTTTTTAATAGGAATTCAGGGGCTGGGGGGTGGAGCTCGGTGGTAGAGCACTTGCCTAGCATGCACTACGCTGTGGGTTCCATTCCCTGCGCTGCAAAAAAACAAAATCAACAGCAAAAAACTCTACAATAGATAAATTGAGAATGGGTTTGGACAGACATTTGCATTGGGTGTGGGCTGGATTTAAGCCAGAGTAGAGAGGCCCAGGAGGGACACAGAGCCCATCAGGGAGACAGGTGGTCAGTTTGTGGGTGTGGGGGCATTTGGGACAGCAGGACTAGGTAAGGCTGAGGATGAGCTACTCCCCAGGCCCGCCCCCACAAGGCCGGGAGGGGGCGCCCGGGGTCCCACGTGGACATTAGTGGCCCCCACTCTCCGAGAGGCCCATGCATGTTCTCCCCAGTTCAAGAAGACTCGAGATGCTGAGGGCATGGCCGCCAGGGGGCGCCCACGGCCGCGCCAGGAACCAAAGGGTGGAAGCTCCCCGGAGGGTTTTAACTCCCCCTTGCCCTATCGAGGACCTCTCAGGGGGACACACTGCAGCAGACGGTGTAGCAGTTAGACCCCGGGAGCACCAACAGGGTAGCGCTGCTTCCAGGATGGGCAGGAGCAGGTCCAGGGAGACCCCTTTCCAGCCCTGCGGAGGGGGGGCTTCTGGAGTTCTGGAGGTCAGTCGGTGAGACTTAAGTAGTGTTTCCACGTTGGTTACAACGCCCTCCTCCCTGGCCTGGTAGAATGGGGGAAGGGGTGGGCCGGACCCAGAAGGAGAAAGGTGGTGGGGGGTGTAATGGGTGGAGAGGGAAAACGGTGGGCTGGCTGCCTATGCAAGTGTAGGCCAACAGTGGGTGTGGAGCTTGAAGTTGCAGAGACATCTGTGCAGGTCTCTGTCACTCCTTAGTGGGTAAGTGGGTGTCGGGCCTCCCCC